GCGCACGCTTACAAATGATTCGAAATACCATTGCGTTTCGTGGCTCCCAGGACCATGTTGTCCACCTTCTACGATATGTGCATTGCACCATCCATTCTTAGTCTGTCTTCTTGCGCTAGATGCACAGTTCTCAATCCAGAATGGCCATTAGGGTCGACGCCAGCAGGCCACAAGGCCACCGAGCTTAGTGCTACAGTATCCGACGTATCTTGACCGCCAAAACCTCGTCGCCGCAGACGCCATGAACGTCTGGCGACCAAATTTCCCAAACACACTTCATCGGTCTGGAAAACCTTCTCCCGCCCAAGCGGGTCCCGGCATGCGTGTTTGATCGCGGGCAGACAAGAAGCGCGAAATTGCCAAGTCGACCCTGCGCACCCTTGACCGTAGCTCGCTGGCCGCCTCTGCCTCGACTCCATGCGCGCCCTTCTCTTAAACCTTCCTGCCGCCCACCTGTTTCCATTGTTTCGACAACGGTCATTTCCAATATTCATGGGAGGGCCGCTGAAAAGCGCGGGGAGGGTTGGTCAAGGAAACGCTCGTAGGTCGCAGGTACGCCCAAGGGGCAGCTTCACGCACCGCACTTTGACAGCCAGCCACGTGGTCAATGTTGTCCGCCTCAACAGCAGAACCTGAACGGCACTCTGCGCAAGCACAACGGTTTTGGAGCAAACGGGAAGAGAGGGGGAGATAGCGGCAAACACGAGTGGCTGGCACGGTCGACCCGAATTTATAGGCTCTTTGCGGGTAAAACTGTGTTTTTTTCAGTGGAAGATGGTAAAAAAAACACATTTACACCACCAGATAGGAAGGGTGATTGTCGAGTCAAGTGATCCCTTGAGCTCATGCAGCAAACCAAAAGCGCGTCGCTCTAATTTCAGCATTCTACCAACGCGGCAACATCAGCTGCACATTCTCCCTGATGGCTCTTTTCGCTGCTACCAGTGCACGCACGCCTTGCCCAAGGACTCGGGCAAGTCCGCAAAGGTCGCCCGTTGGATTTCTTGACGAGAAAGATGGTGAAGCTGCCATCATGTCAATCCAAGATGATGTTGGAGCTATGATTGCCGATTGTTGTCCCCGACTTCGGTGGGAGAGGAATCGCTGCTGTTGAGAACCAACCGCAAGTTGCCTTCGATAAGTGCAGCTTTGGAATTCCTGCTCACTTTGTGGGGTCAAGCAGTACTTCGACCGAAATACAATGCTACCACCACCTGCGCGTGGCCTGGGTTGTCTCCTGGTGTTGGCGCCGCGCACTCTGCACTGAGCAGATTGCGACGCGGAGAATGCCCTCCGTGTGATCCTTCAGGCGCGGGGATGGATGCCGCAGTTGCGCCACAGCTGCAACCGTGGTGGCGAGTGTCGTGCATTCGGTGGACCAATTGCATTTGTTATCGTGGACACCCAGACACACTCAAACTCTCTGAGCGTTCCCCGCACGCCTTTCCAACCGTCCGCAAATTCCCCCGACGTCTGGGGAATTAGAGTGTCCGCGCACACCCTATCACTTCCAAGGCCTCTGTCCGAGTGCCTTTGACACTCTGGGAGTGTCCGGGGACGCGCAGAACCGTCCGAGGCCTCGGAAGGCTTTTTGATGGACGCTCGGACACGTTCGCGCGCTGCGCGGATGCTCTCAGACGTGCTCGGACGCGTCAGAGCCGCTCGGAAACAACGGGGATGCCACCCTTTTCCGGTAGTGGGGATAGCGAAAGCGCAAACGATGAAGAAGGCGAGGATGATCCACAGGCCTGCGATTCTGCATACACTCACAGTAAAGTCTTGGAATCGTGATATTCCGAGACTTTACTGTGAATGTGATTACGTAGTGATCACTTCTGAGCGCTAATCCTGGTATCGATGCCGGAAACGTTTAGTGATGTGCTTGAAATCAAAAAGATCGGCTGCCGCTTTGCTTTCCAATGGAAATCGACCAATGAGTTAATGCCAAAGAAGTTCTGGCAACTGCATGAGCCCTCTTGAGACAATGCGTGCTTGTCACGGTTTCACTAAGTCAGTCAACTAATGGGAGTGGTGTGGCATACGAACCAATGTCAGTTTAGCGCAACTGCCACTACTTCAGTAATTTTGTGTTGGTGCTGCAAAAGAAATGGGACACATTTCAGAGATGTTGGACAAGGCGAAGCTGGTCCACCGGGCCTGCTAATTTGCTTGGCCACAGAAAACGCTGTCACTGGTCCTGCTGCAATTGGCATATGGATTGAGATACGGGATCACCCTTTTGAATTTTCATAGTTGGTGCCCTTGTAGCTTGAATGCACATGGGCTGCTGCAGCCGGGCTTCATACATTCGAACATTCTTTTGCTTCCAAAGGATTCTTTGGTCAGGCGCTGGAGAATGCATCTTTTCGGCGAGGGCCTAGCATGGTGCCAGAAATATGACCTGTGGGCGCCTATTTCAACAGCGGGCATAACCGTGCACAGCCACGGCGACGCCCAAGTCTGGCTCGGAGTGGGCACGCGCTTGGAGCAGAGATGGCAGCACTGTTGTGTAACTGAATGGCCAGTATTCTCCGTTTGCTCCATGTTTGCCTTGCATGGCACAAAAGCACCAACATCCATGCACCTGGAAGGCGGTGGGGGAGCAGCACAGAGAAAATGCTTCCAAAACCAACAGGGGGGCTGTGCGAGAGACGCGGGTTGTATCCCGGCTTGGTCTTTAAGCTGTAACCACAGGCGTGTTACTGAGCTTTCACGCATTAGTGACTTTTTGCGCGTATTAATGCATAGTAACGCATAACTAAGCATAAAAATTGATTTTGTGGGTGGGGGCGCTCAAAAATGCGGAAAATGCGTAAATGTGAACTCTTCGTAAATACAGCCAGCGCGCACAGACTCAGGGAGTATGAGGAATGGCAGCTAGACGCGCTAGAACGGGCAGAGGACGGCCATTTGTTGTAGAGCGTCGTTGCTCTTGCCGAGGGCGAGGTGGATGTTGTGTTGCCGGTACTTGAGAAGGCGGCGCGCTGATCATTGTCTGCGTCTTCATCACGTAACCTGGGATTGTAGACGCCCCGCAAAAATGTGTGGGTATTGCTGCAAATATGGATATAGTAGTATTTGCTGCATTCCCGGATTTACGGGTAAAAACGTAACGGCAAAATGCAACAGTGGCATCATAAGTGCAGAGGCCAAGCATGCTCAAGTAGGCTCATCGCACGGGCAGTGGTGGGCCACTTGCAAAGTGCACACATTGAGAGGCGCAGCTCAACCACTACCAACCAAGAGGCTGCGAGGGAGTGTCAGACATATCGTCGCCTTTTTTTATGGATCCTGACTGTCCGTCGATTAGCCGCGCTCAACGTTCGATATTGATTAATCTTTTGAGCTCGATATCGTCCCCCCCCATGACGTGGGCCTTGCAGTGCCACTCAGGTACTGCACTGCGTTGATTATGGCAAGGAAAACATCCAGTTCACCAGCAAAAAATGGACCAAATAATGTTTTTTGCGAACACACATGAAATGCGTTTATCTATGCTCTGCGCGCTCAGAACACAAAAGCAATCTAAACCCGTAAACTATGTACACGTTTGAACGCGTGTTATTTGGACCTTTTTTCCCAGCGGTTAAAGCTGTGTGTGTCTGTGGCCCACAGACCGTGGGAGGGTGGGGTCTCGCAGGGCTGGGAGCATCAAACCTGCGACACTGGAAACTTGCGTATCGCACCAAAGACGACATATTATCTCCTATTTTATATCTATCATATATTGTAAATATTATTATATATATTATATATGGAGCTCCAAAAGGGCCCCAAAACAGCATTGATCGGCCGCAGACGAATCACATCTTGCTCGCAAACTTCCCCCCCAAGCATTTAAAAGCTTCAAAACGAGCTCCGAAATTTCTGAATTGACAGCTTCCAATGCCTTCCATCGTCTCTCATTTTCCAATCCCCTGTGCCCGCTGTTGCACCAGCCATTTGCCTTCCTTTCGCCACACGCGCTGGCACTCCCTCTCCTGAGCTGAAATATTGCACCGTATTATCAAGTTATGCTGCCGGGAGCCGGCATTGGCACAAGCCCTGGTGCCCAAGGGCGGGTCTGATATTAGCGCCAATTGACGCAGAGCGTCCTGAACGACATAGTGTGCCACACGGGTCTCTAGAAACAATACTTCTCCTGTTGGTGATTGGTTGAATCATGTCGAAGCATGTGCGGACTGGCATCCATATAGCCGCCCACTCGTCCGTTCAGTATCCCAGTCTCTGCAGGAGCTGCTGCACTCCAAGTCCTAAAAAATCCCAGAGACTGGCGAGCCAGCAAAATGACCGCGGGAGCAAACACTACTGGGAAACACCGCTTTAGCGATGCCAGCTGCGATGCCATCCCACACCTGCGGATGTCATCAAAATTGTGCTTACGCCGTCGCGATCACTGTGATGGTGCCACTCAGCGTAAAAATGGTATCCTAGTTGACATCGCCAAAAGAGCACTTTCCGCCAATGCGATGCGTTCTCGGCGGGTGTCTGCTACACACCATCCCAAGACACTGGTAGAAAACGCCATGTTTGCGATCATCGCAATGCGATGCCACCTGCGATGCCATTTTGACACAAACTGACGCTATCACAGTGATTGAGATGGCATAAAAGGGGCTGTGATGGCATCAATTTCTGTCAAATGGCAACGCAGTTGGCATCGCAAACAGGCTGTTTTCTACCGGTGATACCGACCAGCGATGCGGAGACCGAGAGGCAGATGGAGACAGGGCAGGATTCGGTGGTTTGGCGTCAGGATTTCTAGTGTATATTTCTACCAGAGCAGAGTTCTGGATATGCTTCTATCAATAGTTTAGGTTTTAGGGCATACTTCTGCTTGGGCACCTTTACCTGGTACTAGCCTACCTGGTAGTAGTTTACCAGGATATATGTACTGAGTCTCCATCTGAGTATCTGGGCACATAGGGTGAAGACCCCTCGTGGAGGGAGGCGACCTGCCACCGCTCCGCGCTTCTCGTTGTGCAGCGCTGCTCGTTCCCATGGACGCGGACGGTGCGGCCGTCAGCTTTGCGTCGGTGCCCCCCAACGTCCTCATGGCCTGCATGGACGCCCTGGTGGCCGCGGACTGGAGGGCGGCATCCGCGGCGAGGTGCACCTGCCGAGATTTCCGCGCCGCGGTCGAGCAGGTTCGTGGCGATGCCGATTGGAAGTCGAGGCGGCCGATCGGCAGGTGGCAGGGCGGTCGCCAAATTGCCCTTCGCAGTGTCAGAGGTTTCAAAGTTTTCTTTGGTGGTTTGTCGCCGAATCCGTTTGCTTTGTGTCCTGTTGCAATAGGAATTCAAAGGCCCTTGCACCAAACTGGCGATGTCGCAAGCACGGGTTTTGTTCCAACAGAGGTTTCGCGTTTGTTATTGGGTTGGTGTCTGCTGTTTGTGTGTACGTGGGTGGGTGGGGCGGGGGGATGATCTGGCCCTTGCTTTGCAGCCCCCCAGGACGGCTGGCCTACGCAGTTGAAGTCTGCGGATGTAGATCTGAGCATGGGCATGACAAACAACGATCTTGCACACTACATGCGATGTGGGGGCCCCCCAACCAAGCTCGGTGCATTGCACGGCAATGTCCCTTGATCGGAAGTCTGCACACCTTGACCCAAAGATCTTAAGTTTCAAAGCCAGAGATTTTCAATTTCACTCCAGAGATTTCGAATCTTGAAATTTGAGAAAAGCTGAAGTTTTGCAGCTTGGAAGTTTCAATCCGCTGATCAAGGAGTGCAAGCCTCCTCAGCCTTCGCCACATTGTGCGCTATCCCCAATATTGGTATTGATGGGTTCAGTTTTTGGCACAACCACAAAAGCAATCAGCGTCCAAGCAAATTGTTGGTACTGTGCAGCGATGCCTCTGCTGTTGGGAAGGCACTGTGCTTGCAAGGCGGTTGCATTATTCAAAAAACACATTGTTTGTCTCGTACTAGTTTGACACATCGCCAGCAAGAGAAACATGCACGGCTCAAACTGCACTGGTGTATAGGTGTATAGCAGATTATGGCAGGTTGAGGCAGGACACTTATTGACATGGAAATGCTCCCCCTGTAGGCTTTTTCAAGGTTGAGGATTTTGCGACTGGTCGAGGCCATGCTTCCCAACCTGGAGCTGCAAGCTCCGTTCGTGAGGAGCATGCTGCCCCTGTGTGTGAACCTACGCACAGTGGAAATTTCTGGCATTTTCTGGGATTGTGCAAACGAGCTGGCACCGGCATTGGCACACTGCCGCAACCTAACATGTCTCAGCATGCGGTGCTGCAAGATATGGGATGACGGCCTTGAGGTGATATGATTTCCTCTGTGCAACAACACTGCCACAGTGTTTCTCGCTATTTCCTCTTTATCACAACTAGCCACCATTGAAGAAATACATGGAATGGTGGTGAAAACTAGCTGAGAAGCCCGGAACAATGAGAGAGTCAATGATGGTGAGCTCCCTTTACCAGATGAACTGTTCCCATGCTGGACACCCAGGGAAGGATGCTGGGTGTGACTCCAGCTCCTGTGGTGGGACCCCATCCATGGGAACTTAATGGCATGGGCATTGCTTTCTGGGCCACTGTTTGTCATTGGGATACCCAGGAATGGACAGCTGCCAATGCATGATATGGCATTGTTTATGCTTTGGGAGCTGGACTGCGATTTTTCGTGGGTGAACATTTCCTGATGCAGAAACCTGTGGATGCTACTTCAGGGTATTCAGAAGTATAGAAAGTGAGAAAGTTAATGAGTGCGAGCAGCTTTCTGAGAATGCATGACAGTTAATGTGCACAAACTTTCTAAGTCCACAGTACATTCCTGAGCCACAGCATTTGTGGTACACACAGGAGCTTGTGGAGCGATTTGGTGGCATGCCAAACCTAGAGGTAAGAACAGATCGGTGAAACAGAACAATCTTTGTGGTTGACGGCATTGTAGTGATTTTAAAGTTTTGTGCAAAGGATTGCAAATGGTTGCATGCGATGAAAATGTACTCATAGAGAATACTGAAGGCTGTGGACAGCTGCCTTGCAAACAAACAACGTTTCTCCCTCTCACCTACTGCTTCCCAATTCCATTGTTGCTTGCGTGAACTGATCGCATGTTTCTCATATTCTCTTGTATTTACAATAATTGACACAGTATCTGTTTGGAGCATCGGATCGCAAGAATCCCATAACTGCTGACGTCATGCACAGGGAATGGCTTATGGGTGCAGTTATTGCATGCTGCAGGTCCTTTGTGTGGCTTCGGCTGACGAGTTGACAGGCTGTGGTTGGTTAGACAAGCTCCCAGCCTTGACGGACTTGGACATTTCATGGTGCAGGTTGATGAATTCCATTCAGGTGAATGCCACAGCTCACAAGCTCAGTAACAATGCCGATGTTGTCTGTGGCAATGCACCAGTCGGCTGCCAAATCTTTGATGCTGAGTTTGCTGCTGTTGTTGTGGCATTGCAGCTGTTGGGCGTGAGTGGCCAACTGCGGAGGCTGATCGCCCATGGGTGTGATGTGCTGCCGATGGCGATTTATGGTGGTGAGTGATGCTGGATTTGTCATTGGAGTGCATCAATATGGCATTCGAAGATAGTCCTGGAAGTTCTTGATGTTGTGAACCGTTTGCGTCAAAGCATCGGGCAGTCATCGCATTTCACTGCCTTGTTGGTGCAAAGGTGTGACTTGCCAAAGCTCCAAAATTTACCCGACAAGATTCTTCAAAGCTCACAACCTCTGCCAACATCGGCCCACATGCTGCAAAAATTTGGGGTGTCCAACGCTGGAGGCTGGGGCATCTGAGACATTTCCTGCTGGTGCCACCGAAATGGTGGCTCCTGCCGATGCACTGATGCACTGATGATGCGCCCCATCCCCCTGCTGACATTTCCCACCAACTGCCACAGACGCACCCTGCCGACGTTGGCAGAGGTTTGGATTTTTCTCCAAGGTTTCCTTCCTCAGACTCACAAACACTGTGCTGGGAGCAAGCTGTTTGTTGGTTCGCCTGGGAACCAACCTGAACGAAATGAATCATTGAACTGTATGCCCGTGGCCGGTTCTGCTTGACATTGCACATGGCTTGTCGATATTGGAAGGTGTTGCATTTCTGTCCTGTACCAGGCTCATCTAGAACTTCAAACAAGCCTGCCTTGCATGTGCATTTCCTTCAGTGAGAATGTTAGCTCGTATTCCAAACGCATGACGGTTTAGACACAGATGTCGACGATCCATGGAAATGTTGTCCTTCCGCTCCACATTCAGCCCTCTGTAGAGAACCAGTGGTGTAAGATCCAATATTTGATAGTACGTACTTTAAGTACTGTACTTGAAGTACAGTACATTAAATAGTAGCGTTAGTTAATCTAACGTAACTTAGCACTTACTTACTTTTTCATGAGCTTCTTCAAAGGGTGTCATTCCATTGTTCTCCCTGCAGAGCTGCACGATGTGGAAGAACTGGACGTCGCCTTGACAGACTTTTCTGACCTTGGCCTCCATGACTTGGCACAAAACTCCAAGTGCCTTCGGCGCCTTGTCCTGTCGGACAGGGACAACGCCAACATTTGGAGTCCGGAGAGGTGGACTCGTGCCGGCATGGAGGAATTCAGACTCCTCAGGCCTGATGTGCAAGTGGACATGGTGGAGATATGAGCCCCAGCGCCGACCATTCGATCTCATATCTTTGTGTGTCCAGAGTTGAAAAGGCTCTCTTTGGATTTGGTTGCTTTCATTCATTGTATTTGTCCAGCTGTGTTCATTGACCATCGTTGTGGCTGCCTGATGAGGCTGATGAGCCACGGCCAGAGTTTCAGTGTTTCTTCACAAAGTGTGTCCAACCCAATTCCCAAGGCACAAGCAACCAAGGGACACGGCACAACCTATAAAGATGCCAACAAAAAGGTGCAAATCAACTGGAAACGACAGGGACTGCTGACTGGGCCAGCAACCACGCGTGTCACAGGCCGTCCTGTGATAGGTGCAATACTATTTCCCTGTCTAGTCTGACTGCGCCTTACACGTTCAGAGTTCCAAAGGAAGCTCAACTGGTCCTTGACTCAGGCGGCCTCCCGAGCCAGCTTGGCCGACTGCAGCGATTCTCCATTCATTAATGAATGCAAAGTACACCAGCTCAATTTACAAATTCTTTGGATAAGTTTCGCAACCCTCGCTGTCAATACTGGATTGTAGGCAAACAAAATGACACAGGTCAAAGTCAATCATGCGCTGCCAACTGTTTTCCAAAGCTGGACCAGTCGGTTTGTATTCACAAATACGCCTGCCCAGTCCTTGGTACCATTCCCAGGACTGTGGATGCTGCCTAGTGATCTCAGCACATCGTCAGTGTGTACTTTAACATCCAGTTTCTTACCAATTCTATGCGCACCCTGCACAACTCAGTTATCAATGACTTACAGACAGTTATTTCCAGCTCTTTCGCGACTGGTGAGCTTGGTTCTGAGTTAGTGACTGCGCCTAAGTCGCTTGTGCGCTTTTTTGCAGTTCAGCCTTGATGGGAGCTGGAGGACACTCTGATTTTAGACGCTTAGGGGAAGGGGTCTCATTCTTACTGGGGTCAGCGAGATTGTTACAAATTTCCCTGGGTCGGCTCTTGCCCCAAGTTGCAACAGTGTTTGGAATTCAAAAAGACATACAGGCATGTGTGACAGACCTTTAGCAGATTTTAACGATTCCTAAATTACCTTCGGAGTTTCGTCACACTTCACTGGACCTCAGTGTGGCTGTGATATTTCTGATGTTCTACTGTAGCCACGACACCAAACTGGCTCACACTTTCAGGGACACTCATCTTCAGGCCCTAACGGACCCAACTACGTGTCCTTCCTCAATTCTACGTGGGTAGATGCTCCTTGATAGATGCATAATCAATGTGGAACTCCAGAACGCTGTGACCATGTTTTCTTGTGAATGTTTTTAAGACCCTATCTTATATTCTGCACTTTAGTGACAAAGTAGGGGCCCTATAGGCTTCTCTGCTAAATACTATTCTTGTCATGAGACCCCGTAGAATTCCCTAATGAACCAGGTCTTAGGTACAACAATACTCAATACATATTTGGGGCCCGCAGGTTTTCCCAATAGATATGTAGCAAAGAACTACCTCTCTTACATAGTGCACAGAGAATTTGGGCTAAACAATATCTGCAAAACAACCCTACATATATTGCAACCAACTTCACAATATGATCAGGTTGTTTCCCTTTGGTCCTTTTGCCTTTGGGCTCAACGCCAACTCCAAACCGCTTGTCCAAATGGGGCATAGCTCAGCTATTTATTGCTCGTGGTGGTTGGCCCCCTTGTCCGAGGATTCTTAAATTTTCCTTGAGGATCAGATCACTATCAGCCAGCTTCCTAAATCATCCCCTGCCTATCCCAACAGTTTCCTTATAATTACTGTGATCCACTACCCGTCACTATTCTTCTCGTCAATGATTCCCACCAATCCTAGGATCAATGTTGTTCACTCATAAGTCACTGCCATACATCTCCATAATCCAAACACAGATTGTCCATTGATCTTTGCACGTTGTCAAGATCACATTTAAAGTATAGAACACAACTTTGCATGCTCCCAATTTTGCTATTCTAAATCCTATGGCTAAACCACATCACTTATTCCCTCTTACATCAGTGATTCTTCAAATTCAATGCTAATCAGAGGTTGATCAGCTCTTAAAAACAGAATCTCATAGGGAGCACAGCGGTTCTTGTTAGATTATCAGAATCAGCCCCCTTTATGTCGCTTCATTTATTGCTGTTAAGGAGACTCAATTCACACACACTCACTCTATTACTGCTGCATGACATACTCAACATAACAGTCCACTCAGCTCCCATAGATCACACATTCCTATGCACAATATGCTAGCCCTCCGACCCGTTGTCTGAAACTTGGTTCCGCCCACCTCCAACGCCGATGTTGTTGCTGTTTTTGTCCCCACCGTCGTATATCTTGGCGTCCGCTGCATGATGGCCCTCACTGATGATGGATAATTCAGCGCATTCCAGAATGGGCATGTCCTCCGCTCCCATGGCCTCAGTGGCACCGGCCTGGCCCTCGCTCCCCATGTCCCCGCGGCTTGCGCTCCCATATGCGCATTGTCTCCATGCAGATCGGGCTGGTCGGAATCTTCCTCCTGGCCAAGGAGGCCATGACGTACCATGTGGTGGATTTCCCATCCTGGCAGGCTCCATGTCTTAGTGCTCTTCTTCTAGATCTAATTCACGCTGGTCGTCACAATTTCTTCTGTCTTCTTCCCGTGCAATTTTGCATATGTGCACATTGCATCAAATGCACATGTTTGTAGTCCTCACGCCCGTGCGAATTCTGACCACTAGGTTTGTGAACCCATCCTGCGCCCCATGTCATTGGCTCATCATACTAAGCCCCGGGACTTGAGGTTCTATTCGTGACTTGCTCATTGAAGTTTGCCCCATAACAAAGAACCCACCCACTAGAAAGATGTACATCGCGTGCTTGCTTCCTTGCTTGCTCTCCAAGCTTATCTTCCGTTCACAAAAGGGAATCGGCTAAACCATATTCCTTCGTTATAATCTACCAAGCAAAAACAACAATTCATGTATAGCCAGAATTTGTTCCTTGATGCCGCCACAACTTCTCAGACCAAATCCGAAGAGTGCAGCATGAACAAACGAGGGGCCCCACCCTACCCGTCAGCGGAGTGTGGGGCGGGGCCCTCATGTTTCCACCCGAATGGATGGGGCTTGTGACGCATGCCATCTTTTTTGGCTGCAATCCAAGGTTTGTCATGTATGCTTGTCCACGCGGAGCAGTCCCCTCGGAGTCGAATGTGGATCCTCTATCAAAGCGCAAGGCTTCATCTCAATGTTGGAATGGTGTAGACCACGTGCGCCTCCAAACAGAGGCATAATAGCTGCGCCATCCTACAGAGACGCCACATCCGTGTCCATTCGAATGCTGTTCTAATCCACCTTTTGCGGAAGATCTTGTCCAACCGGCGCTGTCCAAGGGAGGGGCGCCCCCACACTGTGGGGCCCACAGACACCCCCTACCCCTTCGCATAGGCATCACTGCATAGCCACCAGAACCCTTTTGATTCTGGGTCCCTAGGCTGGTGGAGGCGAAGTTTTGACTCCTTGATCAAACATCTCCATGGCGGGAGCTCCCACTGGCTCTCACGCCATGCGCTCAGGCTCCTTGCCTTCGGCGAGTCTCTCCCTTGTCCGACATCCGCACCTGCTTGGCGTTCCGCACTGCCACATCTCGCTCGTGCGCCTAAATCCCTGCACAACGGGTCCTCAGGGACCCGTTCCAAACGCTCCATATAGCGTCCGAGGTCACCATGATGCATTACTGTGCATGGCAGCCTCGGACACACAGCACAACGTACAGAATGGCTCCGTACGCGCACCAGTTTCCCATGTGATAACCATTGGTGTGAGGGCACCGCTCCGCCAGTCAATCGGGCGATGGCATACTCCAGGACGCATGGCAGCCTGCCATGTCGTCCGGTGAGGGATGTATATAACGTTCAGTGCAAAGTGACCTTGTGCTAAACATGGCCAATACACGGGTGTGACTTGCCTGCGTACTGATCGGCTCAAGGTCAGTTCTGGAAAGTTATCCTGATGCTGACTCAGGACACTGAGGACATACCCTGTCTATTTCAGGACGGGACAAGTCCGCCATGTCATTCCGTCACCAAATGAGATCTGACTTTTGATCATAAGCGATGGGCATGGACAGGTACCTGTTCATGAGGCTTGGCGGCATGCACCACGCTTTAATCATGGTCATTAAAGTTCATCCCCGTTGGCAGATCATGAGAGCAGCCCCCTGAACTTGGAAGGTGCGGGCTGACGCACAGCCTGACCCGCGCATGGCATTGCATCCCCATGGATGCCTCCATATGCGCATCATGATAAATGTTCCATAACTAACATCATGCTAAATGTTCCATAAGATCGTCTTCGTCCACAACGTGACTAAGTTTTTGCTACTTACCACCGACCTACAGTCTGATGCTCATCTTGATCAACACAAGGTACAAAACCTTGACGTGGATTCTGTTTCATTCTCATGTCCTTATCAATCTATTAACATTTGCTTAAGTCCCTTCACGTATAATAGCAGTTCGCACTCCTTTCGCATGAGTGATGAGTATTTCTGCTAGCTGCCGTATCACAACATTTCATGCGAATTTTTCGCTATCAGTACTCATCCATTTTCCTCGGATTCGGACATTATCCTCCTAGCCCTATCCGAATGTGACATCAAGCCATGAGTGTGCGGTTGTGACCTTCTTTATACAGTCGCATTTCTCCACACAGACTGCGGCTCCTCTTTTCAATGTTGGCCATTCTCATGTCTTTTCTGATTTATAACTCGCAGCCACTACATTATAACTTTTCTCTTCAATCATTACAACGCTAAAATCGTCATTCATACGACTGTGAGCGCACAGCCATTCCCGTCATGGCAGACCAGTCTGCAGTTTTCCTTGTTCATGGTCACGTGGCCCTGCCCCTGTGTCATGGTAGACACTCACATTTTGGGTCAGACTCTTTCTGACGTCTCTACTAAGACTAGTCTTGAATTAGTGCTCGAAATAGTACTATTTCAAGCACTTTACTTATCAAACGGATTTTCATCTTCGGTCTTCGGCCATATCAGGATTCGGGACTATGCCAAGCGCAAGCACACGAGGCGGCCAGATTGACATCATTACATCGAACGTCATCAGCCTGTCCCACCGAATTCCTTATAGTGTGCCCACGTAACTTCAATAACAGCCAATGCACTCTTTTCACACTCATATACACTTGAAGCCACATCGCCATCATCCCCGAAGCCCACAGATTACCAATCTATGTTCACGTACTATGACGCAGCGTTAACTATCCTTTGGGAATCATGCCCGTAGTTCCTAGAGAAGTCTCCTTCCGGTCAACTTCCTAAAAGGAACATAGTACTGAACTCAAGCATCCCTACAGCTGTATGATTCAAATTCACCATAGCGGCTTCTTGTCCGATTCCGCACCCCATCCCGACAGATTGGGGAGGCTGCATCATGAATATTCAAGGCTCAGTCAGAAGTTCTTAATCTCGATAAGCATGGTCTTAAATAACTAATCCCTTATAGAGACTTTCCTGATCACATGCGTACAGAGACTTGCCTAATGTAACGGTAAGTACTCTGGTATTTACGATATCTTTTGAAGTCTTTTTGGTTCCCCATACTATAGTGTATTTATTTGCTTCTTGACTACGCTTTTCAGTTCCTTTTCCACAAGTCTGACAGGTTATTAATATTTCCCCAGCCAGCTGCCCTATTTCTGTCATCAAGACACATTATATTCGAATGAAAGCTATCATATTTAACAAGTGTCACAGATGCTGATTGCCAGATTTGTCTGAGAGATCAGCGGCATCATTGTTTTCCCTCACTTGAAGCCTTCATGCAAGTGAATCAGGTTGCCATTGATCTGTGCCCCTGCCTTCAAGTGGATGGCAGCAGATGGAAAGATGTCTGGGCCCGCAGGCCCCACAGCGATGACAACCTCCCTTCAAAGTTTGGATTCCATCCTCACAAAATGACACATCAGATTTGTGTACTTACTCGAATTGAACGTCAGGTCCCGTTTAAGAAATGGAGCCTTTCCACCCAGTTGACTCTCGCGTTTGGAGCCGGCTCATTCGCACACAGTGACGTTAGTCATAGTGAGATCAGTAGTGGTTTTAGTGATTAGATTTTCCTTACGTATTGTCAAGTTTAGATTTGGCAGAAAATTCTCACTCGAATGGAAATGTGTTGTCCGAATTCAGATCATTCTGGACAGGTTTGATCAAGTTGTGTACTGCAGAACTATGATTCGATTAAAAATGTGGCATGGCAACTGTCAAAGAACATGCGTGGTGCTCCCGGATTACTCTAAACGCCACACAAATCGGCTGGCGCACACCACACATTGTGCGCAGTCTGATTTTCATGCCGTTTTTGTGCAGGCCTTGCAATAGACGGCTTCAGCCAGGTGCCAGACATGCCCTTCGTGGATCCCTCCCACGATACATCGCGATGCACTTTTGTTACAACTGCACGCACATGCACACACGTACAAGCGCGCGTCTGTAAATGCATTGGCCTCGATGGGCACTCTGTTGTGCTCCCACGGCGCCAAAACTGGTTATGACTTTGCATTTGTACCGACAGCCAACCATTCATTCCGCCCTCAGTCGCTCTCACCTGCCCCTGACGGCAATTCCGCGCCGTCCAACTGTCCCCAACCGGCGCGCAGACGGCGCGCCGGCCTTTATTCCAGAATATCTGATTGCTGTCAGGATTGCCGGCAGCAATCAAGCAGCCTAGGCGGCCCTCGACCCCCACCAAAAATGAATTAGCAACACTCAGAAAGCGGCACTCCCACAACACACAGTGCTGCGCCCCAACCAAAAGGAACTCTCTGATCACCGAACCCTCCTCAAGCGCTCAATGATTTTCCAGCACACCACGCTGTTGTCGAACCTCTGTTGGTACACCCGGCGCCCGCAGCCGCATTGCTGGCGGCGCCATCTTCTGCATGACTCTTCTGCTGTTTTGCGCAGGGAGCTTGCGGCTCGCAGCTCCTCATCCTCACGTATTAGACCGTTTATTTCCTCAGTCGCGCTGCGCACGGGCAGCGCGTGTGTTCACACGGCAAGTTTGCCGTACACCATCATCGTGAATGCCATGACGCACAGCGTCAGGATGCCAAAGACGCCGTAGTTGACGTCCCCAAAGATCACCACCTCAGCCACCGTGCTCACCCCCACGGCCCCCCCGATGATCGTCACGAAGGCGTTGCCAAACAGACGCCCCAGGGACCCCGCCTCCGTTGCGAGCAGCCCCGCGTTGAAAGTGCCCCTGGCCCACGAAGGGTGGATGACCTTGGACATCAGAGACATGGCCGCCCCCTCGAGCACTATGGTCGCCACGTAGATCACCGAGAAGCCCGTGAAGTACCTCCACGTGGCGATGAAGTGGTAAGTGTGGGTGGAGTAGACGAGCACGGAGCCCAGCAGGCAGAGGGAGAGGGAGATGGAGCAGAGCTCGCGGTCCAGGATGCGGTAGGAGAGGGCGCCCACGAAGAAGTTGACCGGGAGGACGAAGATGCCCATGGCGGCCAGGAACATGCCGATCTGCTTGTCGGTCCACTGGTAGTGGTCGCCGTAGATGGGGAAGCTGGACACGGCGCCCTGCAATGGAGGGGTGCATGTGGCATCATGGGTGGGTTTGCAAAGATAGTTCGCCGCGCCGCGTAGGGTGATCCAAGCATATATCGGTTGCTCTCCGATTCGAGGAGATCGGAGAATCTACACTCTGAGTCTCCTGTGCGTCGAGCGCATGGGTGAATTCGGCATGGGATGGGCAACCCATTCGTGAGCAAGTGTCTTCTCATAATCTTTCCCATAAAGGGTCAGACTGTACATAAACACTTATTGGCCACAAAGTATCATAATAAAGCTCCACAATAACATTTGAAGCATACATGTAAGTCATTGATCGCATCCGTCAAAGTAGGGCAACAACTGCCGTCCTATTCGTAAGGCCGTGACTGATATTTTGCCGTTAACACCTATGTAAACGTGAATTGGGTGAATAATAATTGATTAGCGATGTTAATCTATTAGATTAACAGTAATAGGTACCACTGCCATCATTGATGTACACATGCCCACCGCACGCAGCACTCACAAGGCGGCATAATGTGAACGTTCCCAATTCGCTCAGCAAGAAAAGTCTCTGTGCAGCGAAAAGGTGGTGATGCATGGCAATAATCGAGAAAATCACGGCTAAAACTGTCATAGCGATGGCCAAAGCATTTCGCCTGAAAACAAAACAAAATGAAAACACTGGAACGCTGCTTCACAACAGGATTGGGTAGTGTAAGGCTTGCTGCCCAGTCGTGAGAGACAAGGGCAATGCCAGCAGCCGCTGAAGAAAAAGAGCTGCAAATTAATGACAAACTAACTGTGGATCCCAGGCTTGGTATTTGCGTTTAAGGCTCCATTTTCGCGCTTAACTTTTTATGCCAAAAAAACGCAAATAGAGAAACGGCCATTTTACGGCCATATTCAAGCACATACACTGCTCGTCGACAAGCCCAGATTCCATGATGATATCCCAAACAATGGTGAGCTCTCCAACACCTCGGGCACCGGCAACACAGCGTCCACCTAGCCCTCAGCAAGGGCAAAGACGTCCAGCAAAAATCGTTTCTTGCACTTGTCAGCGCATCTAGCCGCCACTCCCCACACTCCGTGAGTCGGTATGTACTGTCTTTAAGCACAGAGGGCCCACTTTTACGCATTTTTACGCCTATCTGCCAGTGGAAACGTATAAGCCAACCTTACACGTAAATAGCCTTAAACAGACAAGTGTCTACGCCGTAAGTACCAAGCCTGATTGATTTTGCTCCGATTCCCAGTGACTAGTGTAGCGTGCACTATATCACACTTTAGGTATGTATGCGATTTAAGCATGCATGCGATGCTTTTTGGCCTACAATGCTTCATGAAATAGTTTGTTCACGCAGCACTTTTGCAAGTACAACATACCAATTCCTGTCGTATTTGGTCATTCAGTCTGTGTCTGAAACGAGTGAAATGGGCGCCAAATGCGCCTGACCTTGCTTGATAGAACATCCTTTTGGTCAAAGCGGGTATCAGAGTGTTTACGTTCTAGTAGGCCCGTTGTCCAGAGGGTGTTCCACATTGTGCACTCAAATAAGCACACAATCTCATACCAACTCTCACAAAAGAATGCCGCAGGCTCGCGTTCCATTTGATCACAACAAGTAAACGGTGCTCATAAATGCCACTTGGAGAACGGAACACGGAAAATCGGGCTTGCCCACCCACCTGCTGGAGCACTTTCAACAGGAACAGCAGCAGGATCGTGGCGATGGTGGGCATCCAGTGCGGATCGACCCACATGTTGAACTTCTTGGACCTGCGGCCGTCTACCGCCCCCATCAAACTGTCGTGCCTCCCGTCCCGATCCTCCATCTTCCCGTTCTCCTCCACGGCGTGCAGCAGGGGCGCCCTCGCGGTCGACAACACCGGCGAGTCGTACACCCTGTCTTTGCCGCCATTCCTCTGGTGCTGTGGCAGGGCCTCGGCCTTTGCTTTGGGCTCTGAGAAGAAGGGTACTGCGATGAGGAGGAACAGGCCCCAGACTGCAGCCATGAGCCAGCCAGCCACGGTGACGTTGTCGATCGTGAGCCCCAAGAATTTGAGGTGGGGGATGAAGCTGAGAGGGAGAGAGAGGAAGGGGCCAGTGGCCATGCCCAGGCAGCTGGCACCGACGAAGGCTGCAGGTGATGGCACATTTCCATTGTGTCAGCAAGCACCCCGCACAACCAATTGCCTTGGGTTGAACCTAAGAAGCATGGGAGCTGAGCAGAAGTTCGAGCAGGGTAAGAGAACAGCACTGTGGGAAAAGGATGACATAGTTATTATCGCCATCCGAGAAGAGAGGTTTTGAAGCTTGCGTGGGCAGATGATTCAGTAGAAAACCAACAAAAAATGAAGCAGTGCGAAAAAAAGAGGAATTTCATCCTGGCACAAGCACCATGCTGCAGTATGGAGTAGCGTGGGGTGCAAATGATGCTGGAATGTTGTCGATTCCACAGTTGCATGCATTCAGACAGCATGGCTACGTTGTTGTGTGAATAGGCAGTGGTCTTCCTCATCCGCCAATCCCCCATTCACACCACCCGATGCACAACTAGGATACTGCTTTGAATCGCAGCACTGGTGATACCCAGGGCGCTTCTGGTTCAATTGTGCAGGTGACGTAGGACATTTCAAAAACTCCAATTCTAGGGATTGATCACACAGGGCCACCACATACAACAAGCCTCCACATAAAAGGCATTCTCCTTGACTGCTGCTCACGACCCAGCAGAACTCCAGCCTCACCTTACACATAATGGAGCAGTGCCCTGCAAAGTTCTTGTCTATATTTTTCCTTGGCACTATTTTCACTTCGTGACCAAAGGCATGGTGTGTGATAGTGCAACGCCAGGGCACTGAACACACCCAGTGTTTGACTCTCTTGGCACCTGCGCTTGACTCTGAGGAGCAAGGCCTTTGGTTGTCTTGTCTTTCTGAACAAATGCAATCCATGTACCCACCAAAAGGGTGCTGTCCATCGCTTGCAAAGTTTCCATTCTGTTCTAACACAGTCTAGCCCCAGCACAAAACACAAACACATATTACCCTAGGGCCCACCTGCACTGGCCCTCGTTCGATTCTCCTTCGTCACATAGTCGGCGATGTATCGCCGATTCAGCGCCCGAGCATTGCCCAGCCCGGTCACAAGGCGGGCAGCGACCAACAGGGGCAGGCCCCAAAAGTCATATGCCAGGCTGTACAAGATGTTGCTCACCATCAGGACTGCCCCGCTGAAGATGAGGGGCTTCCTGAAGCTGGAGTTGGTCCACATGCTGAAGTTGACAGCGGAGATCATGGCTGTCACATCAGCTGCACCAACTATGATGCCCCCCACAGAGTGGCTGACGCCGAGTTGCTCGCAGAACTGGTTGTTGAGGGGGATGACAAGGTTGTAGTTGGCCATGTACAGAAATGTGTCGACTAGATTTAGGAAGAGACCTGTGGGGCAGAAAGGAGTTCAATCGTTTGGCTGCATGCAATAATGTTGTAGAGCGCTTTCAGCGGCTGTAGGTGGGCTTGTTTAAGAATGTGTCCATGTTGCTCAGAAAGAGCTCTGCAAGGCAGAGGCACATTCCACCCATATTGCCAAATTCAACAAATGAATTCATGAGTAAATCAGCCCATTGTTAATGTTGAGTAAGTGACATGATGGCAATCAGATCTCACCAAGGGACGTTGCGATGGCGGCGTCTGGTGATGGAGGCATCTCGAAAATTCCGGCCTGGCTTTCAAACCAATCTCTTGTCACAGAGATGAGCCGTGCACTGTTTGTTGCCTTGATGGTGGCCAGCCTAAGTTCTCTCAGCACTGGCTCGAACTCGCTCACATTAGAGGCAACCTGCAATATATGCATCACATTTCACAAAGAACTGGTGGGAGCAATAAGGTCCTGAGGCTTGTGGTGGACCGCATACCGATTTACATCAGTTTAGTGCAGCAGCAGATGCCAAAGATGCAGTTGTTTTCTCTTGCTGTTGTGTGAATGGTGTCTCTGTGAGGTGAATCTTCAGCTTGACGGGCATCGACAAACAAACCAAAAGGCAGGAGTGTACAGACCAGCTTGTTCAAATGCAAGGGACAACAATGGACTGCATCGGACTTCCCTTGAAAGGCAAGTTTACTGCCCTGGTCCTACCTGGACTACACGCTGTACAAGATTGTGCATGGATACTGGGTGCAAGGTGTTCAAAGCCAGCATCGCCTTATACTTTGGCACACACTGTCAATGCAGATCTCCAAGGTATTCCCAACGAACCAAAGGATGCAAACATGGTGCCCAGCCAAAAGAGCGGATGCGGTTGTCTATCCAATGACAAATTTCGCTGCAACACACAGCCAACAGCCATATGGCTGTGCAAAATCAGTTCCAGTCCATAGCACTTTATATGCAAAAGCATGACTTCGCATACAAGAGTTCAGGTGCAATTCCACTATTGAAAGTTGATATGCCGCTGGTGAATGCGCGACTTGGCATCTATGTATGAATATGACTTGACGTCTATATATGTGAAATGATAACTGAAAGGGCTGTTCCTGCCAAGAAATGATGGATCACCTGATTCCATGGCAGGTTGTCCCTTCCAGCACGTGGGGCCTCAATCGTGGACCCCAGGCTTCCAGGCTCAAATAGCGACTCGTACAGCTCGTTGTTTGCCAGGGTGATCTGGTCCAGTGGGCTGTTTGAGCACCCCGCTGTGTCGTTCAGCCAGTTCATCCAACTCTGAAGCTGCCCAAGTGCGGTTCGAATGTCTTGATGGACCTCCTTGAGCTCCTTGTGTTCTTTCATCGCCTCCATGCGCCTGATCTCCTCATCTGGAACACAAAGGAATAGGTTTTACGATCTTGCGCTAATGGGATCACAATGGTTGGTCATTGTTGGGAGGGAGATCGACAACTGCAACAACATGCAACATTACCCTGTCTGTACTCTTGTTGCCCTGTTTCTATCAAGGGTTTTCTGCACATCACTTTGGGACAAATGTGGTGATTGAACTGCATCATTGCCTCATAGCAAGTGAACTACACCAACAAATGGCGAAGTCCACAGCAGCTAGAGAAGGGGGCACTGGGATCGAAGAGAAAGAGCCACAACATGTGTGTGTAAGATGTTGTCAATGGGCAGTTCATTGTCCTGCGATATGTGAAGCCAATTGTCCCAGTGTACATGCAGAGCTGCATTTTTCAACATCCCTTCAGCCACTCATATTTGTGTTATGGGCAACTGCTTGCTGGCCTCTTCTTGCCCTCTCGGCAGGGCTTCTGGTACAGAACAACACCATGCTTATGTGCATGGATGCCAAAAACCAAATGCGCAACTGCAAGATTTATAGCCAGCCAGCATTCCTGTTGTTCACCTGTGAGGAATGTTGCTTGCACCAGTTTCGTCTCAGGTTCCGTTGGGTGCTCGATCTCAAACACGTTCTCAGTGTCCACAAAATCGGAAGGAAGCAGGGGATTCACTTTCTTCACCATCTTCTTCACAATCTTCCGCAGCGCCTGCATGTTCAAGGTGATGTACTCGAACAGGCTCATCGCCGTCCGAGCTGCCGCCCGCCATTTTTCCTGCCGGACCTCGATCAAGCCCAATTTTGACCGCGTTGGCAAGTCAGGAGCCTGAAACCATGCAGCCAGCCATCAGATCAGGGTTCGGCTCCTTGGGAGCCATTCACCATCATCCGTTCTTGGAAATCTTGCGATCAAAGGCATGTCCATCTACTCTACTCTAATGCAAGACAAGTGTGAATCCAGCCATCGCCAGTAGGACCTGTAACAGTCTGTCTTGATGCTTTGTTGTTAAATGTTGCGCACGATCGCCTTGTTGATACAACTGCAAAAGCTTGGTCTCAAGGCCACAAGACTGGCAAGATGAATGTCATTAGTGCCAACCCAACACATCTCAGGTAACTGGGAGCCCTGCATCATGAGTTGGACCAAATTGATTGTCTTTACATTCCACAGGGAGTGACACAAAGTCAAGTCATGTGTTGAATAACTGACTCATTGATCTGTTAAAGTGCAAATTGGCACATCCTGCAACTCTTTCAGTTGTGAACCAGGAGCCAACTACTCGCCTATTGCGCTCTGTGCAGTTACCCCCCGGAACAAATCTCACCCTGATTCTTGAAAGAATGTCATCGTGCTCCTCCTGCAAGCGGTCAACCATATCTTGGACCGATGAAAGCATGACTGTGTAGAAGTCAATGACCTTGACGATCTGCAAGTGGACACGATCAATGGCATGTCTGTCAGGTATGCACACAATGTACACTCCAGTGCTTTTCAACGCAATTGTTTGGGAGCCAGTTTGATAGTGCTAATAGGACAAAGCGAAATCGACTACACCCTTGCATGCATGCTTGCAATACTTGCATCAATCAAACTGGAAAATGTCATCCACCTGTTTGTGCATCGATACGATGTGTGGTGCAAATAGAGGGTTGAAAAGAATAAGGGAACATACACAAATGATGTGCTTGAAAGAGTGCACCTGCCCAACAGCAACTGTGCAAGAAACAAAATTCCCACATTGTCGTTGAATGCTAATTACCACGATTTTCGCAGATTAGAATTTTCACACATTGGAACGCACTGTTTTTGGCTACACTGGTTTCTAGATGTCTCTGTAGCTTAACTGGCGTCTTCCCTCGCGCTCCAACACAAAATCCTACCCCTCCTGCCCTTCTGCAGTCTGAATACAATGCTACGCAGGGCAGAATTGCTCTACCTTGAGTTCTGACTGTACTGAAGTAGTAACACATCTATCTGCAATGATGCTGACCATCCACCTGTCACACTCTCTCACCATCGATATATAGCAGAGGAATGTGACTACTTCAGTTACTTCTGAACTTGTTGGATCAATGGTGCAATGGTTCCACTTCCGGGGTGCAGAACTGATGCGCAGATGGGAAGACAGAGTTGTGACTATGGAAGGACAACACATCAGGCATGTGGAACACATGGATCAAGCATGTACCTGGCAATTGGGTCAAGCATACATCAGACGTGCATTAGGTATGCAGGCAAGATAAAACGGAAATGACAGCATTGGTTTGGATCGCAAACGAGTCACGCAAGCTCTGTGCTGACATTCCAGTGCAAAGCTGTCGATAATTGGGGCGAAAATCCGAAACGGCGGTAGCACCCACCTCAGAGTCCAAGTGCCGCTGAAACATCATTTTCAATTGATCCACTCGATGCCGAGCCACTTCAGTTTGGTTCTCTTCTTGTGTCTGTTCGTCGGCGGCGTCCATGATAACATCGAGTTGCCTCTTGAGGGGCCCATACGCGATGTACTGCGTGATGGAGGCCAGCCAAAGCATTAGAACGCAGCGAGTAATACAAAAATGGTTCGTGAAAAAATGTCGAACTGGTTGGCATTGTCATCAATTGGCAACACGTGAATGCCCCTCTCTTTCTTCAGTACACGGAACGCGCAGCAGCAGCGGTGACAGTGGCCCTAAAGTCGTTGCCCCTGGCAGCCATGCCGATGGTCTAGCTGCCAGCAATCCACTTCTGCCTGATCAAAATGCAACAATCGACACCGGGCATTGAATCCCATGAGTCTGGGCATTAGGCATTGCGCCGTCTTTTCTCCTACAACTGCAGCGCAGAGTGACCGCCGCATTCGGCGGCCGCGCAACCGACACCTCGCTGAACCCTGTGGCGGCGCCTGGATGCCGCAATGCCCCACCCCGAAGCGCGATTCCCATTTTCTCTGCCCGCCTGCTCGGCCCACAATGACCACAAGGACCCCTCGCCGCGATGATCGAAGCGAAATCCGGCGCCAGATCAGTCCCAGTTTCGGAATCGGCGCCCCCCGGAACCCTCCGGAACTACCGAAACGGGGCAATGCCCTGATCTCGGTCCATGGGCGCCGGTCGTCCGAGCAGGAGGGCCGCCCAAAATAGAGCGCCCGCCATGACTACGCGCACGGCGGCCCATCACATGCGCATCCATCACCGCACAGATCCCCCTCGACGCCCACCCCGGCATCGCATCAAAACCGTTTGCCCCGCCCCCCGCCCCAAGCAACACCCTTCGATCGCGATCGCGCCGCGGCAGCGCGAAACAGGTCGCCAGATCCCCGGTCACGTAAGCCCTCAGCGCCGCAGATGCCTCCCGCCTCCGCCTCAAAAACGCGATCAACGCCCCCAGAATCCCCGCCATTAGCCCCCCCCACCCCCGCCACCGCATCCTTCGCAAACACCCACCGCGTATCTCCACTCCCTCAGCCCCTCCACGCGCAATTTTTCGCCGAACTTCATCTCGACGGCGGTCCCCCTTCCGCCGCCTCAGGCGCGATACTCTCTCGCGCCGATGCCCCCGCCGTCCGGTGCACCCACCGACCTCGACCCAGGAGCCCCAGGAGAGCCGTCCGCGGGACGCATGCCCGGCCAAGCGGCGTGTTTGACGGGAAGACATGCCCGTCGCGGAATGCGCCCAGCAGTGCATAAGTGCGAAGACGAACCGGCTGCGGAAAAGCCCCCCCAGTGACCGAATATTCGGCAAGGTAGCTGGAAGGTGCTTCCGAAAGCACCGGGTTGAGGTACGCGCCCTGCCGGGGGACTGCCCGGGTGTTAGTACCCCCTGGGCGGGCCCCAAGGCGTCGGGCATGGAAATTGACGGCCGGGGGGCCCGGCAACTTCGATGGAGTTGATGCGCCGCCGATGCTAGGTGCGGGGAGGATTCCGAGTGATGCACGTCGCCGGGGCGCAGCACGGCCGCCATGCGTTGCTGTCGGCCCCCGCGCGACGGTTCACATTCCAAACCGTTGTGCTCCCGATTCCCGGTGGTGAGGCGACCTGCACAGAGAGTTTGCCGGGGAGGGCCGTTTCTGGATAGGGCGCCTGCGGCACATTCGGTATCAGTCGCGGCGGGAGTTTCACGGCGCCGCCGCTTGGGAATTGGTGGCCGCGGCTCGCCCGCGAGCAAGCGGCGAATGCGCGGGTGGAGCCGCGGCGTTTGAGCGGGTTGAACGGGGCTGTTCGCACCGTGAATCTTTAATGAATCGCGGTCGTGGTTTGAACAAATCAGCCCGTTTTCAGTTCATGTAACAATGCTGTCACACCACTGCCAGTGTCGTCCAAGCAAGGACAGAAGTTTTCTTCTGTCTTCATGCAGCGCACTTTGACTGCAGCTTCTTATTTACCAATGGGATCTCACGCCTAGCTAGGCGTGACCACCTATAGGTGGTCGTCGGCTACTACAGTGGCTTGAACAAGCGCTGAAGTTGTGTGAAACGGGTCACGGTGTTGGCGCCTATCGGCATGAGCTTGGATGGGCGGTTGGCCCTCACACGATGGAGCCATTTATGCAATTATTTATTGGGCCTGGCCGGGCGAAATTTGATCGCTAATCTCGGAATGCTGTCGAATTTGAACTTCGAATGCTGTTCATTTCACACGCACCCCTCTGGTCGTTGGCCATCTCAAGTCTTTGCAAGGGAATTTTATTTTACATGTAGGTGGGTTGGGTCTTCGGCTGTGAGAATTCTTGATTGGGCTCGGGCTTGAAAATGCGGTGTGGCAAAAGCACGTCTATTCAGGTGCAGAAAAGCCGAAAGCAGAAGCAGAATATGGCAGGACATGGGCGAAAACACGGCAATTGGCGACGCTAAATCCTCAATGACACGTAAATGCAATAATTACAACAGTCACCGATCACGTACTTCATGGCTCCCAAGCCAGCCACTTTCGTGGCGGCGGCAATGTCATTGAACGGCTGGTATTCGCGACCCACTTATGACCGCCAGGTTGCCATGTATGTTGGTATAGGTAGTATAGGTAGTATATACTACCGCTCCTGTCAGGCGCTTGAGCTGAATCCAGCTCCGTATTCAGGAGTGCGGAATGAGTCGTGACAAGCGTATTTCCCCTCCTCAGCGAAATATGGCCTCTGATTAGCTTGTAAGCTTGGATTGAATTTAGCCAACGACCGGTGGCCGCAGTTCGACCAGATGCTGTAGCAGTGCCTGCACAGGCATCTGTGGGCCACCTGGGGATCTGCAAAAGGGGTAGAAATTGGTGGTGCATTATTGCATGTACAAAATCATTGATGCAGCACCGACTGAAGCTGAAGCAAGGTCAGTTTATCAACGTTGGCGCAACGGCGGCATCCACATCAACGCCTGGAATATTGAAATTTGGGCATTTGCTGAAGACTGATCGGCAGTGCATCAACGGCAATCCAGCCAACACTTTTTCCAGGTGGGGCCACATGTGTCCACAAGCTCTGGTGAGGGCCCGGAGAAGCATACGCCTGATACACCAATATTTAGGTCATAACAGGCTTGGTCTTTACTTTCGCGGCTTCGTTTTTGCGTTTCGTTTTTTACGCGCAAAAACGCGTGAATAGAGAAACGACCATATTTACGCATATTGTATTTACGGCGCATCGACACGCTCATATCACATGATGATGTCCCAAACAATGGTGAGTTCTCCAACCCCTCGAGCACTGGCAACACAGTGCGCAGCTCGCCCTCGGCAAGGGCAACGACGTCGTCGAGCGATAGGTCGTTTTCTGCACATTTAGGCGCGTCTAGCTGCCACTCTCCAGACTCCCTGAGTCGGTATGTGCTATTTTTACGTATACAGGGCTCATTTTACGCATTTTTATGCCTATTTGCGCGTAAAAAGCATCTCTAAACGTAAATATCCGCAAACAAAAAAAGTGTTTGTGCGACAAGCGTGGGCCACAAAGGCACACGCACACAAAATGAACAACGGATGTAGCCGAAAATAGGCTTCATGTCGGAACACCGACAATGCGCATGCATACACGTGTTTTTGGAGTGCCATGGCTGTGTCTGCCAAACCTGGTAGGGCCGCCCCAAGAAACCACCACGTGCACAACATCAATGGCCATCCTGAATCAATCTCTGTTGAGTGTCCCGGGGCAGGCTCATGTGGACTCGAGTCAAGCCTGACAATTTAAAGTTGCCCCAACACTGGTCAAAATGCACACCACTTGGTCGTATTCGAGCAAGGTCCATCTGCTGCGTACGAAGATGGTTGGCATTTTGCCATGGGTATAGGAACACAAAGTGGGTTCCAGCTCTGCACAAGTGGCAATCTCTACGGCAATTGCATGGAATTCAATTACTTTTCCGTCCTTGACTTTCAGTGAAAGGGGTTGGGCACTCGTCGATCGCTGATCGAGGAGTGGGAGCTCATGCAACGTCGCAATATTTTCAAAATTGTATGCCATTTCGATGTTGATTTTCCAACAGGATGTTTCGCTGCCTATTCCCGGCGCCTAGCACTAGCAGAAATAGGACCAAATAACACTTTTGCGAACACACATAAAGCACATTTCATCAAAGTTTGCACGCTAAGAGCACAAAAATAACCCAAACCCGTAAACGTTGTACACGTTTGAACGCGTGTTATGTGGCCCTTTTTTCCCTAGTGCAGGAAGTTGCAGATCTGAGGGATGGGAATGATCAGTGCACCGCCATGATGCGCACACATCTGCACATGTCACATCAACCGAAGCCCTCCCAGCACCCACCATTCCAGGATGCATCAGTGCGTAGATGCACCAGTTTCCTGAAGTAGGCAGAACAGAACAGAATTATGAAATTACATTTGGTTATGCAGGGTTGGATATATGTTTTCAGAATCTGGCAAGATATTGTCAGATATCAGCACTTGCTGGAAGGAAGTGCTGATGGTCAGAGCCACGATGTCTTGATAGCAAAATGCTTGCTATCATGTGGTAGCAAGATATCCCAATGCATTGGGATGACAGGCAATACCTGTCATCCCCTGCATGCATATGCTATACGCAAATAAGCACACAAGGGCGTCGGATGCGCAAGAATGAAGCCGTGCATAACTGCTTTGATCGGTGCGGATAAAGGGCAAGCGTGTCGAATCTGCTGGCCGCTTTCTTTTTCTTTCTAATGTCCGTACAGCGAACTTGAACAATAAGAACGTCCTCGCAGGTGTTGCAACGTCCATGAAGTTGGCGCTCGTAGTCCTCGTGTGGATCCATCGAGCAAATGAGGCTTCAGTGCCCAGAGGCGATTACGAAAATGATGGATTGAGAGAGGGATGAGGACACAAGCTCGTTGAGCCAAGTGCGACACATCTGTGCACTCGCCTAGCTAGGCTATAGCCTCCCTCTTGGTTGCCCACAGATGCAGGCAAACCGACTGTGAGCAGGTACAGTTGCATGGTGATTGCCCAGGTCAAGCATCGCTGTACATTTCTCTCAGTCTCAAATCATCATGTCACCATAATGTATCACCACATCCCGGACATCACCACGCTTATCATTGTTCATCCCCTTAGTGTCGATCAGCTGACACCACAAAAAATGCCTCCTATTCATCCATTGTCTACACAAGCTTAACCAAATTATTCTATGGTGCCCAAACCCAAACAGTTATTTCTGCAGAATGGCAGATAATCCCAAACCCATGTTACACAATCTGCTGCACCTTGTGTTACCTGTGTTACCTGTTACCCTCCGTTACCCTTGCACTGTACCACTGCACCGTGATGCCTAACTTGAAATTCAATCAGAATACAGATTGAAATAGCCATTTCACATCTGACGGCCCCAAAAATTTAAATGTGAACCCACGATGGCCACTGCCAAACAATCCCATCTGTGGTCACCCAGAGCAGCCCAGCTTGTCCATCATACAACCTAAGCATACAACATACAACCTAATCAACCCTGACCAATCCTTTGCCAGCCTGCTCCACTCCAGCAGCCATTGAAAACAATGCAGAAACCAGCCCATACACCCACCTGCCTACCCCATCCAGCCCTTCACCACTCAAGAATTCTACTGCAAGCTTTCCCAACCTCAACTCCAGCCACCCCACCTCATACACAGCCCAGACACTCAGACGCCAGTCGCCACATCCCGACTTATTCTGGCACCACCCAGCCCGCTCCCCAACTCCAACAACGGCGTCACCTCCTCCTTTGGCAATGTTGTAGTTGCCATCCGTTCAGCGAGCGATGAACATTCCCAATCCTGCCCCACAAGCTTCCCCGCCCATCACTGAAACGTGATGCAATATTTTGGAATCAACAAAAACAGACAGAAAAAAAACGGCAAAAAAAAACCCCGAAAGAAATCTCCCCTATTCCCCGGGCTCAGGTCATGGCGTCCATGTACGTGGGCATCACCGACAGCGACAGCGTGAGGCCCACCAGGCCGCCGGCCTCGGCCACCACCTCCTGGCGCGCCAGGGGCCCGCCCTTGGACCACAGCCCCAGCTGCGTCACCCCCATGAACAGAATCTGCACCACCCACACCGCGGCCCACAGCAGCCCGAATGTCACCCGGCCCCCGGCATGTCGAATGAGCGCCCGGACGAATCCCGCCACCGCCGCTGCGATCACGAGCAATCCTCCCGTGACGTTGAGCCCCGGATAGATTATGAAAAACGGGGGCGCGGCAACGCGCATCAAGGCCCCCAATCGGCCATCCCCCACCTTGTCTCGGACCAAGATGCCGATGGCCATCTGGGCCAATCCAGCAACCCCCGCCAGGGCCGAATAATAGATTAGCCGAGACGCGTGGTACTGCTTGTTGTACGTGGCGCCTTCGCCGAGGCCGATCCGCCACAGCTGCCACCCGAAGAAGACCTGGCCACCCAGCATCGCCGCGCTGTAGCCCGCCGATCCAAAAATTCCCAAAGTCACGGCCCCGCGCCATTGATCCAGAGTTAGGCTGGGATGCGGCGAGAAGTCCAACTTGTCCGAATCAAACGCCGGCTTGGCGAACGTGAACACGATGAACGTGAACCACGCCGACAGCATGACAACCAGCCCAATCTTCGACACCGCCGGGCTGTGGCTCTCGAAGATCTGCACCCCCAACGCCAGCGCCAGCCCCGCGCCCGCCGCGACGATCTCCACGATCCCGCCGATGAAAAGCACCCACTCTGGAAACGTTCGCCCATCGATGCCATCCCAGTCCGCATTCAGGTCATCGTCCTCGTCGTGATTGCGCGCGAGCACCTGGGTTGTTCGCGTGATCCCCTCCACCATCATGAATGCAGAGAACATGCCGAGCATGCCCGCCGTCCTGTGGACGTTGCCGTCCGCCATGGTTTCCTCAAACGGCCCAAGAGAGCCCAACGCGAAGCGAGGCCAAACTCGACAGCCCTCCCGGTGCTCCCGTGGCGACTCTCCGTGACGGTGACGAAGAACTTGGACGCATAAATACTCGCACTTGTGGCTGCACAGCCTGCCGTGGTCCGCGGTGGGTCAGACGGGGTCGCCAGTGAAGCGGCAATGTACCGGGGCAGGCAGGTGATGGTGCATGCAGGTGTCCGGTTTGTCCTGTGGCACAAACTTCCCTGTTATGAATACCACTCGTTTTCAAAGCCGTCGCGTGTGTTCAAGTGCCCTATGGTGAAGTCAATGGCAACATTGACTCCGTCTTTGTGTTAGACGGGTTGTCTTTAGACGAGTTGAGTCAACTCGTCTAAACAGCGCCCATTAGCTGCATTTAAGCTACAATTACATTTCATTCCGATAGTGGCGGGCTGCATTCCGAACTGGTTCCTGGGCGCGCACCTGACGCGCGCACAGGGGGCGGGATAGCACGGGAGGGTGAGCGCCCATCCAGGCGCGTGGCTGGCGGGTGTGCCACGGTTTGCGCAGCGTGCGGCGTCGATTGGCAGCTATGGAAAGCGGAGATTCTACTGGTCGTGGAGGTGGATCGACGGGATCAGAGGTGGCCGAACGTCTGCTCCGATCGGCGGCGATGGAGCTGCTAGATCCTCCAAGGGGCGAAAATAGATCGATGGGGGAGGGTGGCGAAAGGTAGAGTCGACCGGCAGACATGGAGCACGGAGATTCTGCAAGTGCCGAAGGTGGATCGACGGGAGAGGCAACCCAATGGCAGCGCCGATTGGCAGCGAGGGAGCCAGCAGATCCGCCAAGGCAAGAAGGTGGATCGACGGGAGAGGCAGGCCAACGCGGCCCCAGTCCACAATGGGAATTGATTCGTGGACAAAGGGCGTTGAAGCTCCACGCTCACGGGCACCTCTACACAAGGAACCGGGTGGAGGAGTACACCAGTTACTGGCGGTGCGAACATCGTGACTGCCCAGGGCGTGCAGTTTTGATTGAAGACGTGGCTGCGAGTCACCGGCTTCAGCAAAAACGCGGATGTGAGTGAGTTGTTTTTTGGGTTTAGGGGAATGCGCTGAACGGGTGAGGGCCCTCAGGTCACCGGCTTGAGCTGGAATGCGGATGTGAGTCGGTTTTGGGGTTTAGGGGAATGCGTTGAATGGGTGATGGCCCTCGGGTCACCGGCTTGAGCTGGAATGCTGATGCGAGTGAGTTGTCTTTTGGGTTTAGGGGAATGCGCTGGACGGGTGAGGGCCCCCGGGGCACCGGCTGCTTCTGTGATGTGGATATGAGTGAGTCAACACGGGTCAACGAAATTTTAGACGAGTTGTCCATTAGACGTAATGTCCTTAGACCAGTTGTCCGTTAGACGAGTTGTCTTTAGACGAAATGGCCGGCACCCGCCCTCAGGTCACCGGCTTGAGCTGGAATGCGGATGTGAGTCGGTTTTGGGGTTTAGGGGAATGCGTTGAATGGGTGATGGCCCTCGGGTCACCGGCTTGAGCTGGAATGCTGATGCGAGTGAGTTGTCTTTTGGGTTTAGGGGAATGCGCTGGACGGGTGAGGGCCCCCGGGGCACCGGCTGCTTCTGTGATGTGGATATGAGTGAGTCAACACGGGTCAACGAAATTTTAGACGAGTTGTCCATTAGACGTAATGTCCTTAGACCAGTTGTCCGTTAGACGAGTTGTCTTTAGACGAAATGGCCGGCACCCATGCAGATGTTCGTCGCCGTCTCGCGCCGGTGCTGCGCAAAGGGGCGCTAGGCGTGGCCCCCATGGGAGCGTCCTGGGATGACTGCTGGGGATTGGCGGCCCCGGGCGTACGCCAACCCCACCGAGTCACTCCTATGACGCGACTTCTTGTTCAGACAGCGCTTTGCTAACACTACTGCAGTACAACACGATCTGCTGCTCTGATTTACTAGTATTTCGAGGGGCCTTGCTTGCGTGGTATGGCAAAAGAAGTCGCCGGGCATCCATGGTGGGGATTGCGCACCGTCCATCAATGACGCCAGGCGCTTTTTTTTCATGGGTGATTCACTTCGGCGCCCCTAATTTGAACGATTCAACTTCGCCGGGAACCGGCGCCCTATGTCTCAAGCTTGATGTGCAAGATTCCTAAATCAAGAAATCAAGAATCTTGATGACGGTGACCGCCACATGGTAAGGAAACGGACTACACACCACCAGCCAGATCTGGCATGAAATTAGTCCCTCTGTCCTTTTGTGATTGTTGATGTTTTTTTCGACACCCTAAACCACTGGCCAAGTTGACCCACGTTGGCCTTGTCAGCAGAAGAAGAAGGGATCTTCAAGAAATGGAAGTGGTGAGCAATACATTCTCGCCAGATCTGCTCTGCTCCACCTTCCCCTGGGATCTCCGCACCCCCCTTTCAACGCGAAAGCCACATCCCCGCAGGAGAGGGTTTGTTTTGGCCCTCTCCCGCCGCGCCGCTTTCATCGCCTGAATCCACTCCCCGAGGTCCCGCTCGCGCAGCGGCTCGATCGCGATGGCCATGTCGATGAGGGCCGCCGCTGGGATGCCTTCCATCCAGATCGGCCGTTCCGCTGGGGCGAGGAACGGTGAGGATCGAGCTGGGAGCGCTTGGAGGCCTCCGCCAGGCGGGAGGCGTAGGAAGCAGCGGCGTTTGAATGCAATCGGGCTCCTTTGAGAGGGAAGGGCGCCTCTGATCGGCTTCGCCTCTCAAACCTGTTCAAAATTTATTTGCTTGGCGAGCAGCTTGGGCGCTGTGCGGGGACGGGGCTCCCCGTCGGGAGGCGGAGCGGTTGGGAGCGGTAACGCTGGGTGCCTTCGGGATCAAATGGCCTTCTGTTGTCGCTGTCAGCCTTAGGCGGTTGCAAATGTGTGTCGCCCTTTTGAGCGTCAGTGGACCCCGCTCTGCTCAAGCACAGGCGCCATTCGATTTCGCGCCCTTGTGTGTTGCTTACCCCTGGCCGGGTGGTCTTGGTAGAGCAGTGGGACATCCCCTCAGGGGCACCCGGTTCGATCCCCGGTCAGACATTATCTTCACACTCCACATTAATTGGAGCCAGGGAGTCAGGGGGTGGCGAGACCCCTTCAGCACCAAACATTGTGTTTGAGAATCCGCACTCTAAGAAAAGAGACTCATCGGTGTCGTTGCTTCTTTGGACAGGTCTGTTTGGCGCCAGGAGCCTGGCTGCAAGGAATGCGAGCTCTTGGGCCTCTCGCAAAGTGACGTGCATGGGGTGAGAGCGGGATGGATGGAGCCGATTTGCTTGTGGAATCCTTTTGTGTGCCACATGGAGCCCCCAGGTGATATTTCAGCCTTGGGTGCGAGGTTGAATGCCAGGAAATTGAAGCAGAGAAGATGGCAGGAAAGAAACATAATGGCCTTTTGTTTGCCCACTGGTTTTCGCCCAATCTTATGCTGCACGTTGATTCCTGTCTAATATCTCCATGCCAGGAAAGAAACCTAATATGACCGTTTGCTTGTTCACTGGTTTTCGCCCAATCTTATGTTGCACGTTGATTCCTGTCTAATATCTCCATGCCAGTCGTCAGCGCTTTGTGAAGGGTGCTGCCATTCCTTGCCTTGCTTGGATGGCGGCAATAACGAATAGGGGTAGAGTTGTAGATGAGTTGCCAAAATTTATTGCCCATTGTGCTACGAAAGGTGGTGACTCGACAGCTCTGCAGAAGGGCCACATGAAGGGAACCATTTTCTTTTGTCGGACGACATTCTGCAGAGCTGTTGTGAGTTTTGCATATTCTTGTCATGTGCAGGATTGCCAAAGCCATTGTGGGTGACGCGACCCAATGCAAGAACTGTTCTGCCATGGGATTGGCTGGTTGAGGGTTTATCACATGAATAGGATGCTGTGCCCACCTGGGTGCACAAGCGGCACGCACGAAACTGGAATGTATGTTTCAACTTGCAATCTGATACTGTGTGGATTGGCGCATGACACCAGCATTTGCACTAAGTGCGAATACAAAGTCTTTGTGCTTTTTAGGCTCATGAACGAAGAATACAGTGCGCAGGCAGCAAGCTGACTATGACGTTGCTTTACTTGCAGTGGCAAGGCCTTTGACACGGACTGGTTGTCTTCCAGCCCCTTTGCCTTCATGATGGGATTCATTGGGTAAGCAACTGCTACTGCATCACATGCGCAAATCGCGTTGGTCCATAACTTCTTGTGTACCATTTGGCCAGTGGGCTTGCATACCACACTTGTGCCATGTGCTTTTCACTCAAATGCATGACCCTGCTAATGCTGATCTGCTCCTGATTTTTGCCGCGAAAACAAATGGCTTGCAATTGGGAGTTCAAGGAACACTGCCCAAATGGTGCAAGACCCAGAGCTTTTACAACTTTCTGATGCATAGTGCCAATGCTGATTTGCACTGTCAGTAGTTGGGTTCATAAGCAGATGACTGTTGCCAGACGAAGATCCTAGCAGCAAGAAAGAAAAGTCCATGCAGGGCTCAGCACCTTCCTTTGTGAGGATTTTCATGAGACCATTGTCCAAATTAGGAAGATGATGCACAACTTTTTGAGTACAGCATAGAAAGATGCAGTGCAAGGGGACATCCATCACTTCCATCCTGTCCTTAACAGCTGTCTTTGGCTGTCGTAGCCTCTTCTCCCTTGCATGCATACTGGACAGTTTGATGCTGTCTTGTTATTTGCCAGACAGTGCCTCGACGATGGGGAATCAGCCTGTAATGGCATGTCTGCATGGCGTCGCTGTCCTGATCATTGCTTTGTTTGCAAATGCAGCTGGACTGCCCCCTCCTCCATCGGCGTTCCAGCATACGATGGCAACAGCCTGTTTGGATCCTTGCTCGGACAAATTACGAAGGAGTGGGCGCACTTCCCCACAGGCCCATCCCTTGACTCCCCGTTCTGGTGAGAACCCCCACAGTTTGAATACAGCCCCACGGCTTGCATTGTTGTCTGTGCTCATGAGCAGCAATGACACAGCGGATACAAAAACCCATGAAGAGTTTGTGGCAGTGCTATGATTGCAGCTGCTTCGGTTACATGGAGTGGCGTGTTATCAAGCCGCAATGCGTTAATAAGCAACACCAGGGCGGACATGCACATTACTGCTGCTGCTCCATTCTGGGTAGTGTGCAAAACATGGATCATGGGGCATTGAACGACTCGTGTTTGGACTTCTCTGTTCCCATCACCACCTGCAAGGTGGAAGGGGTCTGTTTGTGGTGACAGTTGTCAGCAAGTGTAATTCGTTCAGCTCCACATGCACACAAGAGTGCTCGATTCGAGCAGGCATCAAGCAGCACTCCCCATCATTCCCAACCTGTACGGGTAGAAATTTGTGGAGGTTCTCATGACGTACGCAAGACTTTCATCAACTTGAAAAAAGTCCCCTCCAGTGATATTGTCCGGGCTGGAAAACATCTCTGCGCGATTTTCCAGTCCGTCGTGTGAGTCTTGAAGTGGCAAGTGTTGCCTTATGACGCTTGCTAATTTCCCAGGTGTGAGCTCGACATGCGTTTGTCACAGTTGGCATTGTTTGGTCCTCTTGGATGCATCTCAGTGCTGTCATTAGTTCATTGGCACTTGGCATGGTGTGCAGCTTGGCGTGGCCCATGCAGCAGCTGCTGAACACAGTGTGTTCTGCTGCCCCACAGGCTGTACCTCATTACCTGGCACCTTGGCCTGTTCGTCACTCTGACTCTCGCCCAGATTGGGTACAACGGCAGCAAACAGGGCTACTTCGATTAGGCCAGGTGGCTGCCATGGGCACTGCATTGCCATAGTGGTTGACCTGTGGCATTGGACCTTCGCTTTGTTTCTTGTATCGTAAGATGCTTTGTTGCAGACAGGGTAAGAGAATTTCAGCATCGGTCCTGTGGTGTCCATGTTGGCCAGTGCTTGTGGCCTGTCCCGTGGTGAAGCCAGTTGAGAGCCATGGGATCGCCAGCCAGACGATCAGCCAATGCCAACAAACCAACAGCTCGAGCTTCCGCCTTGGCATGACGTTGCAACACAGTAACGCAAGGCTTGGCCTTATTTGCGGAAAAAACAGAAAAATAAATAACACTCCCTTCAAAAACTATTTGCGGAGCAACGTAAAGAAATAACGATTTGAAAACAACGTGCGAAGCAAAAAGCATAACAGCAAATCTGCTGACGCAGAAGGGTTGGATGTTTACGGTATGCACCAATTGACAGCCGTTCGCTGCGCCGCAACCCCTTCGATGACCGCCAACCTGGCAGGCACCGGTGGCTTTCGGCACACCGACTGGCAGCTGTCCACTGAACTGCACCTGTTTTGGTGGCTGACTACCCGGTGAGCACCGGCAACCATCAAAGCACCTTTTCTCTTTCTTGAGACCGTGCGATCCTACGGATGCGTAAAATTTGGGGGCTTTACATCGCCTTGCCCTTTCTTGCTGGGCGGCACAAGGCCCGCATATCTTGTGACAAGACGGGGGAGGCACCCGGACACCGAAGTGTGATGTGCTACCTGGGACAATCGCTTCTTTGCGTTGGGAGCTATTAGATTCATAGACTTTTGTGTTGACCACTTGATTTCCGTGAATCGATCACAGACACTGCTTGGTTGAACAATAGATTTTCAATGAATCGATCAGACACTGCTTGGTTGAACATTAGATTTTCAATGAATCGATCATAGACACTGCTTTGTTGAACATTAGATTTCCATGAATCGATCACGGACACCGCCTTGCTGAACGTTAGATTTCCATCAATCGATCATGGACACCGCTTTGCTGAGCATCAGATTTCAATGAATCGATCACGGACACTGCTCTGCTCGGGCGAAACAGGAAGCTGACGGCTACCTGCTTGCCTTGTTCTGTAAAAAATGATAACGCACCATTTGGAATAATAAACAAGAATATCGAAGCGCCACCCAATAGCCGTTCGCTTCACTGCGCCTCCCAACGCGGCTGACTACCCGGCGAGCACCGGCAACCGGCACCGGTCGTTCCGCAGCCGGGGGGGTAGTCACGCGCTGACGGGGGCAGGCAGTCGGGGCGCAGGTGGCCATGGGCGAAATTTATTCGCACGCCTTCCGCGTGAATGCACCGAGTGCGCGTCAGGTAGAGACGAGAAAGGCGCTCCCAGTCGGTGCTGCTGTTGCCCTTGCCGCCCGTGGCAGAGGCCTGCCGGCCGCGCTCCTGACGCGAGAGTCCGCTTTTGCCCAGAGTCGTTGAGGTGAGCTGAAACTGAGGCGCACCGCCATGGTTGGTGCTGTCTTGGCGGGTGGGAGGGGTGCCAGTCGCAAGCGCGCTTATGTGTGTGTGTTGCTATGTGTCGCGAATTCGGCCGCGGCATCCTCGCGCTGGGTGCTGTTTTCCGTGCGCTGGCGCCAACACAGTGGCTTGGCGCGATCGACGCGGCTGGGTGGGGATGCCGGGAATGTTCCCTGCCGGGTTTGCGCCACCCCGCGGCCGATTGTCCTGTCGATTGACCACCCGTCGCCGCGCCTTGCGCTGCTGGGGGCGCCGATTTCGCCTGCAGATGGCCCGTCTCATTGCTCCTGCGCTTCGGCTTGGGCGCTGGGTGGGATTGCGCCCTGGGATGAGCCAATCCGCGGGTGGCAATCCCGTCTCTCGCCTGGGCACTGTTTTCCCTCGCTTGCTCAGCGGCCCAGACGGCCATCCACGGTCGACATCTGCCTCTGCCACCGTGGCTGTGAGGAGATTGGGCGCTACCGTTTATTGGCATCCGCCGAAGTTGGCCTGACGTTCACTGCACTTTCCTGCCCCTTCCCCTCAGGGCCCCGCCCGCCAATCCCATCCGCCCGGCTCTGGCGGCGAGAGGCAGGCATGGCCAATTGGTTCCTGCGCATTTTCGGCATGGGCGGCGATGGCCAAAATTCCAGCACCCCGGTTCTGACGAAGGATCGCGCGGCCGAGAGCATGATCAACTCGCTCGAGAGTCTGAACGAGACGGAGGAGAGCCTGGAGAAGAAACGCGCGCTGCTTGAGAAGCGGATCAAGGATGAGCTGGAGAAGGCCAAGGCATTGAACGCGCAGGCCAAGAAGAAGGAGGCGCTGCTTGCGCTGAAGAAGAAGAAGATGTTGGAGTCCCAGGTGGGCGCCAGCGTCCCGCTTCAAGCCCGTTCGTGTCCGCTGCCGTCAGGTCGTTCGCTGCAGTTTGTTTTGCTCACGTCTTTCTTCGCGCGAACCGGTGCGGATGGCGCGGCGGGTGCTGAAATTCCATTTGTTTCAAGCTCGTTCAAGCCCGTTGAGTTCGGGTCCGTGTGTTCGGGTTGGTTTTGCCCGAAGCCTTCGCCGAAAGGCAAAGTATTGGCGCCGTTGGGCGATGGGGATGCCGGCAAGGCGGGGCGACTCCGCTGGGGTTGGATGCCGTGCGATGCCATCCCGGGAGGGAGGGGCAGATGGCCCTGTGAGGTTGTGTGGCAGGGCGGGTTCAGGGCGGTGTCGGGCGATTTTGGGCAGCGCCCTTGCGCGCGTCCAAACCGCCGGTGCGCGGTCGGCCACGAGATGGTTGGCTGCGGTGCCGATCGCGACGAGCGGTGCCATCGTTCTCTGGACGCAAAAGCGCATACCGCCTTGTTCGGCTTCTGCTTGGGATTGCGGCAGCGGGACCATTTCATGGCGTGTGGTGCTGTTGATTGCTCTTCTTTCGGGAGTGCAGTTTCGCTGCTTGTGGACGATCTCGAGATCGAACCCTGGCGTGTCGAAAGTTGCTATTCCGGAGGGGATGCCTGGACGGCAATTGACATCGCTGGCGTGCAGTCCGCCAGTGCACGAGGCGGGATGAGAAATGGCAGTGCTGCTGTCGCGGCATCGCGTGCCCTCAGTAGAACGCCACCTTGGGAGCCCCTTCGCTGGTGATCTTTCCTTGTACTTTGAATGATGATCGATTGAAGGCTTGGCAGATTGCCAGCTGTGCTTCTGGGGCCTGGGCTGGGGCTTCGCGTGCCGGCAGTTGAAAACAGCGGGGCATTCAAAGGGCAGCCGGGTAGCAAGACGCTGTTTCGCCTTGTGGAAGATTGTGCCAAAGGCACTGAGTGCATTGGGGATGGCGTATAGTGCAGTCCGACCTGCTCGGTGCAGGTATTATACTGGCCGCCCATGTGGATTTCTCATCGCTTGAGGTCCAAAGGGAACTGACGATTGAGAAGCCCTGCAGTCTACCATTGGAATGGGCGTCCCCGTGCCATTATATGCCATTACAATATAGCTCTGAAGCCTTGACGATGACCAGATGGCCGAAGCAGAGTAGTTTCCAAAAGACTGTCACTGTATCAGAACACATGAGAAAATGGGCACTCCTCTCTTTGCTCTTTTATTTTGAAACTCTTTCTGAACTTGCAAAATGATGAACTGCACCAGGCATAATGTGCAACATAGCATAGCATGGACATTGAGAGACACGCACTCAGGAGGGGCTTCTGTGCGCAAGTGCGCTCTATTGCCAAGTGCTGCATTTCCACTGTTTAAACTTCATGCACCTTTCATTCTGGCTCAGGCTACGATTGCACCACGAGGGCATTAAATGCAAAAACCATCCTGCCCTAGCAGCACAGCATATGTGGCGATCTTCCTGGTGAGGATAGTGGGAACACAAGGTTGCAGGATGACGGGCTATGAATGTAGCCGTTGTCAAATGATCATTCCATTTTGTTGGGGTGCACGCAATTATCTCATGTGATGGAGGGAGTGTTGCTCAAATTTATGTTCATGTTTTTGCCCAGATAGAGCAAACTGATAACCTTATCCTCCGGATAAGCGAGCAACGCATAATGCTCGAGAACCAGCGAACCACTGCTGAAGCCGTCTCCACCATGGTTGGTGCTGCTGATGCCGCGAAGCAGACCATGGCCGAGATGAACATCGACAATGTGGACAAGCTGATGGACGAGATCAATGAAGGGAACAACATGATGGCCGCTGTCAACGACGCCCTTGGGCAGGGCTTCGACCTGGGGATCAACCTTGATGAGGATGAGCTCGATGAAGAGCTGAAGCAGCTTGAGGCGGAGGCCAACGGCGTGGGGATGGATGTGCCTGAGACGCCTCTGCCCTCTGTGCCAACCACCGTTGTGGCACCCAAGGCCAAAGCCAAGGCCCAGGCGGAGGAGGAGCTGGCAGCGTTGGAGGCAGAGTTTGCCAGCTGAGGCCCCAGTGACCGTCGAGGGCCGCAGGTGCGATCTGTTGGCTATGTTTGCTGGCACAAACAGTTCAGCTAAGGCTTGTTTTTTAAGTTCCAAATGTACCACACTGCGATACGAACAAAGGAGCTCCCCTAAGGCTTGAAGGCAGTGCAGGGACTGTGCATCCAGCGTCCAGAAATTTGCCATCAGTTGTGGATGGAGTGGTGTGGTGTGGGGTGGAGGCTGCGCCATGCAGTGCTGCTGCTTTTGTGGTTTCTCTATAAGGGCGATGGTTGAGGGACTTGTGTAAAGTGGCTTCAGTTGCATCTGCACTTCCGGGGCCAGGCAGTTTCCTTGCATCTGTGGTTGGATCCGATGAAAGGGTGGTGAACAGGGGGGATTGTGGGGCTGCACGGTCTTCAGGAATCGTGCTCAGGACTTGTGGCAGTGCCCAGAGACTGGAAGGGGGGTGGGGGGTCTGGGGTCTTGCCTGCCTGGGCACTCCCAGCTTGCCCAAGTTTCTGACTGGTTTATGCATTTTTTTGCGCCAGGCCCCTGAAGGCAGGGTCCAAGAGGACGCCATGTGTGCGGGTGCCAGGTGCAGGGCAGGTACAAAATGGTGAGATTTCTTGGGTATCAGATGGGAGGAATGGACTGCCCATGCTGCGCAAGGGTGACGGTGGCTGGCACGGCAGGCGTACCATTTGGACACTGTACTTCTGTAAAAATAGTGTAAGGAATGATGGCAGTTTCGAGGAAATTTGTCTATTGTTCCAAACAACATAGGCGGGTGTTTTTGTTCCACAATAAGGAGACGAGGTTGTTGGGACTGGGGTGTATAGCCGGTGCTGGACCCAGCGTTGTTTTGCATTGAACTGCGCAATGATAGCACGTCGACCGCTGGCACCAGGACATGAGCATGGACTTGCCAGCATCCAGGGTCAGAGCCTGGCCAGGTTGGCACCTGAAGATTAACTCCGGTGGCCAATAACGGACTCATGGGCCGGTCGCCTCCTCGCTACGAAGCCAGTACCAACAAAAGGCGCCACGATGAAAGCCTTTGTTCATGCAGAGAGTGTGAAGGGAAAACCCGCTGATGGTGCAACAAGGCACCTCAATTCTGCTTTGCAATGCAACACACTGAAAGTTTGCTTTGGACAGTGGAAAACATCGCGCCCCGCAGGCTCCCTTTCCCTGCGTGGGACAACGTCCCCACACTCCCTCTTCTGAGCCAAAGTGATGGCATGCCCCATATCATGTAGTGTAGTGTATGTAGTGTTGCTGAGTCACCCCTGCATCGACACAAGGATTGGGGCAAAGAGAAGGGGAGGATCCCTGAGCTTAGCGTCAGTTGGTTTCATATTTCTCTTTGTGCAGCGCCTGTGGCCTTTTCAGCTAAATATCCCTGTCGCAGCATGTCCTGTTTCTCGCTTGAGAGATTTTCTCTTTTACTCCCAATCGAAACATGCAGTCATCATTGTATTTGCAGCATCGTATTGCACGAATCGCTCTACCTGACTCGAACATTGTCGCCACATGAAAGATGTGTCCTGAAAATGTGTGTCACTATGCATATCAGGCAGCGCCATCCAATCTGCTCTGTGGTGTTCATTGGTCACCGAACCCTAAGCCCCAAACCAAGTGCTGCAGCTCCATGAAACGACAGTCATCATCGTTCATGTTTATTTTTTGCACAACAATGCAAGCAGGGAGCCGCCAGCCTCCAATTTTGCTAGAGCAATAGTAGTGCGAACGATCAGTTCGTTGAAATTAAATGTGGAACACGGACAGAAGGACCATGCTGAGCTGACATTGATGGCTCGCTGGCTGGTTCGCTAGTGGGGAAGCGGTTCCAGTGGAGGCGGTCTGGGAACGAGCTGAAGGCAACAGAGTTGCAGACAGACCCCAAACAGCGATGTCCCCTTACGGTCAGGCCACCTATTCAGTCCATGTATCGTGATTATGTCACATCGGCATAAGAATTTATCACACCAGATTGCCGCCATCTCAGGCCGTCGCATCACCACGCGACCCTTCCCATGCCGTGAGCCCATACCCTGGCGTGGCCCCACCTTGACGCCCACCCCTTGCCCCTTGGCCACCACAACGCCCGCTCGCCTGGCCTTAAGTACCCGTCCCTCAGAAGGTTCCGGACGCCGGCCGGGCCCCGTCAGGCCCGAGGCGCCCTGGAAGGCCCCGACAGTCACCTCCATCAACATTCCCAACGCCCGAAAATGGCCAAAATGGCCGAAAATGAACCCAAATGGGCCAAAATTGGGCCCAAAACGCCCCTTTCCGAGAAAATGGCCCGGCGCCCCGGGCCCATCGGTGGCCACACAGCGCGCGGCTCCAGGCCCCAGAGCATTCGCGGCAGCGTCATAACACCCAGGCCCCTCCCACCTCCACCCTTCCTCCCAACGGCCCGCTTCCCCTCCCCCGGCCTCCCCCCGGCGCCCCTGCCCGCCGCCGCCGCCGCCGTCGCCGACCCCGTTGACCAAAGTCAACGCGGTCAACGCCCGCCGCCGGCCGTCCCGTCGCCCGGCCGCCCCCGAGGGCCCGGCCGATCCCGCGAGGGCCCGCCCGGGGCGTAACGCCCGCACCACGGACCCGCGTCGCGGGTCACCGGGTTCGACCCCGACGCCGGTGAGCGCCGTGCTGGCTCGAGAATTTCGGGGATGGCGCATCGGCGCCGCATTATGGGGATCACTGGCCCGAACGAGCGGGGCCGGGCCCAGCCGCCGGCAGCGCTGGCGGTCCTAAGGCACCAGGCTGCCCCGCGACCTGTCCGTGGCGCGTTTCTGCCCCCTGCCCTCTCCGCGCGCCTGAATTTGACCCCCAGCTGTCCTTTCTCCGCAGGTGTCGCGGCATTCTAGGGCGGTGCACCCCGCCAAGCCCCGTTCGTCCCATCCCCTCGTTCCCTTAGCCACGGGCGGCTCGGCCCTGCCAGGGTTTGCCGTCCGCCGGCAGCGAGGCGCGGGCCCACACGGACAAACCCCCCTGGGCCACAATCCCCTCCCGCGCCTAAGGGCCGGGGGAGAGCGCCCATCCTCGCCGGCGGTTGGCCGGCGATCCGCCCGGCGAGCGATGATCCTGACCGAGAAGAAGTGCAGCAAGTGCGGCGGCGTCAAGCCCGCGGGTCAGTTCTACCGCGATGCCAGCAGCTCCACGGGCCTGGACAGCTGCTGCCGCGACTGCCGGCGCGCCTACGCGCGCAGCCGGCCCAAGCGCGACTGCCCCTCCGTGGACGCCAAGATCTGCTCCCACTGCTGCGAGGTCAAGCCGGCATGTGAGTTCGGCAAAAACGCCCGGGAATCGACGGGCCTGCAGCCGTGGTGCAGGGCCTGCCACTCCGCGTACGTGAACAACAAGCCCAAGGTGGACTCCCCCGTTGTGGCGGAGAAGCGCTGCTCCAAATGCAACCTGGTGAAGTCGGCGGGCCAGTTCTGCAAGGACAAGTACAAGCCCTCCGGGCTGCGGTCCTGGTGCCGGCAGTGCCGTAACTTGGCGCGGGCCGCCACGCGCAACGACTCGCCGGCCGTGGCGCATCAAAAATGCCGCGGATGCGGCGAAGTTAAGCTGGCCCAGGACTTCCCCAAGTGTAAGGAAAACGCGTCGGGTCTGAAGTCCCTCTGCCAGGCGTGCCGGGACAAGGCCGCGGACAGCGAGGGGCGCAGGGGTGGCGCGCGGGGCGCGCTCAAGCGCAAGGCCTCCAACGTGGAGATCAGCGGAGATCGGTGCTCGGCCCCCGGGGGTGGCCAGAGGGCCAAGACCGGTTCCGCTGCCGGGAACGATGGGGCGGAATCTACCCCCAAACGGACTGGGTCCGGTTCGGTTGAATCCCCCTTTCCCTTCTCGATCCCCACAAGGCGCCGCAGCCAGCGCAAGGGGGGCTCTGGCGCCTCGCCCACCTCCCAGTGGAACAACGGCAATGGGGCATTCTCCCAGCAGGCTGATGATGCGCTCGGCGCAGGGTGGGCCAGCGGGGAGGGGGGCCAGGTTGCCGGGCAGGAGGGCGGGATGCCTGTGGAGGCAGCAGCCGCGGATGGGGGTCTGTTCTCCGTTTCGCCGTTTGGCATGGCGCTGGACCCCGTCAAGCTGGAGCAGATGTCTGCAGCACAGGCAGCCGCTGCCAGTTTTCCGCAGCCCCTGCCAGGCCCGCAGCAGCAGGGGGTGTGGGTAGAGGCGTTCAACGGCCAGGTGCAGTGCCCAGTGTTTGTTCCCAGCCAGTTTCCATCTATGGCGCCCGGACCCGTGGTGCCGTGCATGCAGCTGGTGATGGCCCCTGGAGGGGAGGGGGAGGCGCCGGATGCTGCGCGGGAGCCCGAGGCGCAGGCGAATGATGACGATGGCAGAGAGGGTTCAGGGAGTCCTACCAGCAGCCCCAGCGGCCTCGAGGTGTTGGCAGAAGCGGCCGAGATGGAGATGAACATGAAGGAAGTCGCGCCCTCAGGGGAGGTCGCCAACAACTAGGTGCTGCGGCCAGACGGGAGCGGGTAGCAGGTTGGGGAAAAGTCTGGGGCTCTGGCGAACGTGCCCGGCAAACCAGGATGTGCGTTTTGCGCAGGGTGATGAGGCTGGAATGGAAGCCTGCTTGTGGTTGCATCGAGTTTGGGGCTTGGGTTTGAGTGGCTAGTGAAGCGATGGTGGAATGTTATTTTGGAAGAAGGTACTACAGGGGGTGGTTATTCCTGTGCCAGGATCGGCAGTCGGGATGTGATTCTGAAGTGGGCTGTGTGACGGCGACTCGAAAAGCAGTAAGGGACTGTGGGCACCTTCGATAGATTATGTGGGAGGCAGGGGGCGGCACGTGGCCACTTGAGGGCTGCGTGTTTGTGCATCTCTGGGCTGCTGATTTGGGCACATGGGCAAGGAGATGTCGCTGGTGGGGTGCTTGGCCTTCTCTGCTTGAGGGAAGGGCACGGGCATCCCTTTCAAGAGGTTTGATTCTGCAGGCCCTGTCAAGGGTTGGTGTCTTCCAGAGGCTGGCTTGCCTTCAATTAGCGTTCTTAGCTGACTGGGCAGTGCGATGGCGTGGCATGCACGCATTTGCACCCTCTGGTGCTTGTCATGGCAGTCGCCAACCCATGGAATGACACGTGGTGGGGAGGTGGAAACAAACACATCAAGAAAAAGGTTTGGAGACTAATTTTGACATCGTCCAGAGTGACTGGGACTTCAACGGGGGCTGGGTGACTGTGGGCTTTAAGGCCCAGTTGCACGTCTGGGCTGGGAGGGGGGCACTCTTTTGGATCAATGACGAGGGGGCGCACGGCATGGGTGCCGCGCTGTGCCGGGCGCTGGAAAACGACAAGCTACAGGTGCGAGAGGAGACTTGAGTTTTGGGGATACGTTTCAGGGCAGTATTTGAATTTGGAGCAGCATTATTGTTACATTCGGCTCCAGCGCGCGTGTCTGTTTGGCCGTGGTTGTGGCCGAGATTTTTCGCGGGGAGTTCGACTTTGGCTCGTGGCAGGGCAGGGAGAAACCTCACCTGGGGCGTGGGGCCCGGGGGGCGGGGGCTGTGCGGAGGAGAGTCAGGCGCTGTGCGCAAGGCCCGGCGCAGATCAACACGCCGAAGCCTGGCTGCAGCCGGGCGGCAGGATGGGTCAATGTTTTTAGATTGTTTCAAAGGGCCTTGGCGCAGGATTTGGCGAGCACAGACCGTCGCTCTCGCGGGTACTGTTCGGTTCAGCGTGCGGTTTTTCCCGGGTCTCTTTTGGGCCTTGTCTTCGACTTTTGGATGCTGGGGGCAGGACGGGTTGCGCATTGGGGACGGGCCCCTGGCCCCCCCCCCCCCCTGCGGCGCGTCCCTTGGAGACCGTCGGGTGGTACGCTAAGGACGAACGAACGAAGGAAAACTTATTCATTTCGGGGACTCGCACTTAATAAACTGCTATGTTGGTGGCGCGGTGCTCAGCATGTAAGAAGGAGTTCTGAAGCTCGTGTCGTGCGTGCTCGTCTCGAGTCGTGTCGCGGCGTGCCTGTGGTGAGTCACAGCTTGTGACTGCTGTCGAGCGTGCGATTGGCTCAAGCTTCCTGTCAGCTTCGTGTGGCCGTTTTCGGCAGAGAGGCGGAAGGGCCCTTCAGGAAAGCGGTACTACAGTGTTGTGACAACACAGTGCTATCAGATGCTCCGTTTTCTGCGCCCGTGTCCCCAAGACAGTGCTGCACAGGTCCTTTTCCAGCTGGAGAGAGAGCGACGCGCTCACCCGGAATGTTTCACGCTCACATCCCACGAGCTGAGGGACGAAAAGGCAGCAGCAAGAAAGGGACTGCCAAAAAGATAACATGGGCAGAGCACACGACGATTGAAAGTGGGCAGCAGCGGGAAAGTTAAACAAGAAGGCAAGCATACAGGAGGAGAAATCAACGCAATGCGCTGGCCACCAGTCATGAAAAGAGCCCCAAATGTTATCATTGCGGTCCTTCGCTAAATACGTGTAGTTCTTTCTCACCTATGGCTCTGTGTTCGGCTTTGGCCAATATGGCAAAACAGCCGTGCTTTTGAAAAACAGGCTGTCTGGCTCAATTGCGATACACAGATAGTGCACTTGCAGTATGTGAGCACGCCTGTGCATGTGCGTTGATAGCGCACCGAAGAATAGTGCATGAAATGACCATGGTGCCCGGTCTTTTTTGACTCCCAAGTGCTTTCAATACATTCTCACAGTGGACCAGGTTGCGTCACCAACTGACAAAGACTGGTATCTTCCACAAGGACTGGCCGATTTATGTGGCTGGCGTTTCCATTCAGCTCCCCCGCTTCTCACAGACGTCTGATACCCTTCATTCCGGAAAGGACGTCTTTTTGGGGGGTTTTAGAGTTCTCTTTTTATGGTTTTTAGAGTTCTTTTCATTGGTTGTTACAGTTCTGTTTTATGGTTTTTGGAACCCTTTTCATGGTTTTTAGAGTTTTGTTTAATGGTTTGTAAGGGTTTTTAGGCCCCTCGTGCCGTGTGGAGTGGGGTTCGTGGCGTCCATGAGCCATGGACCACGGCCTTCATAGCACCTTCATGACCTGCATATCTGGTGATGGTGGGTGGGCATTGGACAAACCTCCAGTTTGCTCCCTCCGTTGCTGGCGCGCGGCCACTCTTGGCGCGAGGACCCTGGCCATCGACCCAAACGTCTCGCGCCGATTCTCGAGGAGGCTCGTGCAGCATGCCCAAGCGCAAGCAGGCGCCCCAGGTACCGATCGGAAGCGGCCAAGGCGCGCGGCCGGCCCGTGCGATCGGACCGACCCGCGACTCCGCGCCCTGCGCACGCGTCGGGTTGCGAAATCGCCGGCAGCCGTTTCAGGCGGCACTGTTCTGGATGGCAGGGAAAGGGGATCGCGCCGAACCGTCGCTGGGGAAGGCGGGGAAGGGCAGTTTTGGGAAATGGTTCGATTTGCTTGAACCGGCCATTAAACGCTCGACCCTGCGCTGGGGTGGAACCATGTTTTCGAGCCAGAGTGGGCGGGCCGTCGCGAAAATGCTGCCCTCGGATTCAGACGAGCCAAGTGTGGTGATTCGGAGGCACCAGCAGTGCGGAATCGTCGCTGGTGGAGAGGCGGTTTGGGGGGGCCGGCCAAGGAAATTCGCACCCGTGAGGTGGGGTCGAGCGCGCCTCCGCCCCAGAATTCGCGGCCCGTCGCGAAAGTGCCGCTTTCGGATTCAGACGAGCTGAATGGAATGCTTCTGGGGCTCCGATCGGCCGATTCGTCGCTTTACGCCAACTTCGGTGGATGGCAGGCAATCCCCGCCCTACCCTACCGCTTCCCCCGTGCCTGAAATGGGAGGCCGGGGGCTGGAGATGCGGTCGAAACGGCGCTTCTTTCTTGTGAATCGCCAGACCAGCGTCCCCGGGGTGACTGTTGTTCGAACGAGGTCTGACGCAGTTTCTGGCAGACGATCTCTTTCCCGCCACTTTGTTCTTCGGACCAGTTTTTCTTCTTTTGTTCATCGATATTCTCTTCCCGGCTTTTGTCTGTGCATTGCCCCCAGTTTTGGCCTCCTACTATCCAGCGCTAGAAGCAGCCACTGCAACTTTTGGGAGTTAATTCAAGATGCTGTTCGAATGCCAACCTCAGCAGAATTGTCATGCTCGAGGACAAGTGTTGTGCAGCGGGCACGCCTTCCTGAGCTCATCTGGTGTTCACCTGAACCGCGAGTTATGTTATTTGTAGTATTGTTGGTAACAATAGTGTCAGCAACATTGTTATTCTTGCGTTCTGTGTGGAGCGACGCTCAGGCAAGCCACTGCCTCATCAGCATATCAAACAGAACAGTCTGTGTACAGGCGCGTCCGGCCCCTTACCTTTGTGTCTCTTGATCCCCAAGATCCTGGAAAACCTTTGATGATTATTTGGGTCAGGTTTTCAGGTTGGCCATGTTTGGGTGATATTTTGGTCAGATTTGGTCATTTTCAGCACTGTAGAAGTTCATTCAGACGTCATTGAGTGCGACTGCAATAGCATCAAACGTACAGCACCACGAAGGTCAAGTTCACGTCTCTCAAGGGATATGTGTGACCAGGTGCTAGTTGCGTAGTTGGTTGTCTTATGTTCCAAAATACAGCAGGACACATATCAGCCCAAGGGCCATTGCTGTCCTATCAAAGGAGATGTAGGTCTTGTGCCAACCTACAGGCAGTGCAAGGCGATGTGCATGGCCAAACTAATGACCATATCAAAAAGAATGTACAGCTTCAAATAGGAAAGCTTCACAACTGAGGCAGGTGCACCAGCAGATCAGTATGTATGCGAACTCACAGCGTTTTTTAGGCTCTTCGTTTCGAAATCAGGATTTGTGTTGTTGTTTGCAATCAGATTGCAGTGATTCATAGCACATTAGAATGTTGGCTCTTCATTCCATGCACATGCTCAAACTGCAAATACTTCCCTGTTCATATTCTACCTGGGACTGCCTACCATTCTGGAAAAAAACCCAAAAGCTCATGTTTGTGTACATGAAGATATCCTATGCGCCGGTGCATCAGCTAATAGGCAGTCTTACGTCAAAGGTAGTCAGTCATGTGCTAACAATCACAATTTTTTGGATGCGAATGTGTCAAGTTTTTGGATGTGAATAGTTCACATGGATCCTCAGCATACCTTCATCAATATTGGCAGACCATGCCTTGTTACTACAACATGATGACAAGCAGCTGCTGCACAGCATTGTTTTTCATAAATTGTTGCTGAGTCTTGCTAAGAATGAGCTGGAATTCTGTTGAACACAAGTTCCTTTCAGAATGAGTACCACAAGCAGCCCAGCTGACCAGAGTCCAAGGGCAGGTTCCAACAAATTTCCCAGAAATGTATGGCTATCTTAACTTTGTAAGAACAGAGAATGGGCATACAGTTTCAGAAAGACAGTAGATCCAGAATTTGCAAGTCATAGCTGGCTGCAAAAGTGCCCGGGACCAGGCTGTATATGGCAAGAACAATAGGGAAGGTGGGGATAGTGAACACTAGGGTGCCGTCTGATCTGGTCAAAGTCTGAAGTGGAGGCTGGATGAGATTATGGTTCATGCAGGGAATAGTAAATGTGTTGGCAACAAATACACATATAGGGTGTGAATTTCTGTCCTCGCGTTGCAGGGTTCAAAGCCACTGTTTGGCTTCATGATGGGGAATGTATTTGAAGGACATCTGGTGCTTGATATTATTTCGACATCTGTTGTCTACACATCAGACCCTGACTCAGACGGAATTTCCACTTATAATGGATGGTATTTTGTAGGATTTTATAAGGCTGACATACTTCATTCCAGTTGGCAGGACATAACATACCACTGCCCTTGCACCTTTACAGTGATTGTGGGGATGAATTGCATCCCCGGTATTAGCTCGTTTATCATGTCATGTTCCGCCTTTTCGCCATTCTTTCCTTATCATCTGCCATCCCTCTTCCATGGGCAGGAGCGGGCTAGTGGGCAGGGCGATGTCCGAGAAATGCTTCAGGCACAACGCAGGAGACACAACACCCAATTAGGGCTGCCAGATGCCCAACAGGACCCATCCCCCCTCCCTGCTGGGTATGTCCCGTGGAGATCGCATTTGCTGATGGCTGACACTCTGGCAGATGGTGCCAATGCAGTCCAAGCTAACTTACGAATGTTTGAGGGGCCTTCAGTGATGTTGAAGAAAACTTGCAATCCTCTGTGTGCATCTGTAAAAATAGAGGACAATGCTGAATGGATCAAGTGCAGTGGCAGTTCATTTCTTCCAGACCCTTTTCCTGAGCCTGTAGTCCTTTTCTGTGGCCGCTCATTGCAGCTTTATGGCATTAATGGGTCATTGATCTGGTGAATGTGGTTGTGTTATCTTGTCTTATGAATGGCAAAACCATTGGCAGACCTTAAACCCCTTTGCTCAGCATTCGGAGAGAAGTGCTGTGTATTTATCAGCCTTTGTATTGCTGCTTTCCTGAAACGATGAATTAATGGTGCAGTGGTTACCATTTGGCCACCAAGTGGGAGGATTACAAGGAGCGAGCATCGACAGCCACCCCCAATTGCCCTCGGCTCCTGAAGAATGGTGAGTCCCAAACAGAACAGTAGAATTGCAGTGTGATATAGAGTTGCAGCGTGACCACAAGTTTTTGCAGGTGCTGTCGCTGGGAGGTCGTTTTCTTCTTCACTCTTGCTCACTGCTTGGCTTTTTCCCAGTTGCTTTCCTTGTTTTCGTGCCTGGCAGTTGCAACTGGTTGTTCGAGTCTTGACTCGGTTGCCAAAGTTGCAGACCCCAGTAGGATAACACAAATCTCTTGTTGAAACTCCTACAAGCCCTGAAAGCACTGTGATTCGAGTAAGCCACTGGTTCAGTGTTGTATTCGCCAGTGGTTTACTTGTTGCGCTGTGTTGCCAACTGCCAATCATTGCTGTACACAGCAGCATCCCTGTGACTGCGTTACGGACTGCCCGCTTGCATGCTGTTGACTTACAGTTGTCTCCATTTCTGTGCAGGGGCTGCATTTGTGGCTGCATTTGAGCAGCATATGTGCATGGAGGGGGTAGGAGTAGGGTCTGCCAGGTGAGGGACAGCATGTCGATTTATGTCAGATTTGATCACAGGAAACTGGTCTCCACAATAAGCAAACTGATTTGAGGCTCGACTTTTTAGCAGCCAAATTTAGGAAAGCATGGGTGTGGACTTTCGAAAACCACTGCCATGTGGGTCATGGATTGTGCTTGTCTGTTCATATTTGACTAAGTTAGTGCTAATCTGGATTATTGTTGTAACACAGATTCTGTCCATATATATCAACAGCAGAAACTGTGAATGTTATGGTGTTGTGTGGACTGGGGAATGACACCCCATCGGTGCCATTTTCCTGCACATAACAGGACACCACTTTGCGCCCAATGAGACAATACCATATTTACCCAGTATTAGTAGGCACCCCCTGTTAGCATCCACCCCTCTTTGGGGGTCGAAACCACATTTGTATCCATGATCCGGTGTTAGTATCCACCCAAAATCTCAACAGAAACGCGCTCAAGAGGGCTCGTTGAATTCGCCTTGGGGAGAGAAAGCTAGTTTTCATGTCTTTGTTTGCACAGCACTCCTGTTGCACGACCTCAACGTGCAACAACTGCCAAAAAGCTGCTCATCCTGTGGTGCGGTGCATGTGATGGCTGCAAGCCTCACAGCTGGAACAGCTAATCTGATGATAAAAAAATCTGTTTGTATGCCGAGCGACTGCAGGCCATGCGTCTATGGCACAGTTGCTGGCCTAGAGTTGCTAGCAGACCAACAACGCGCAATGTAGCCTATCAGCCACACACGCACGTGCCTGCCATGCGCCATGGGGCCTCCTTTGGCATTTCCTGGCTGTTGGGGGAACAGGATGGTTGTTTTTGGTAGCGCCAGGCCGCGCCTGGCGACATGCATACTACCACACGACCAGCCGTCACCCCTGGCGTTTCTCACAACCAGTCTCCAAACACCCTCCGCCAAGCTCGCCCAAGCTTGCTTTTAGCTTGGCCGGAGGTGCTTCAATCGGGCCACATGGTAGGGCCGCCGTCCACCTGAACACGCTGGCATCTCCCGTCAATTATTGATGAACGGGGAAGGATTTTGATGGCTTTGCATCAGATATGGATGTGGACAGCGATTGATTGTGAGTGCGTTTGTGTGTTTCTGTTTGGGATTTTGTGGTGGCAACAGCATTACAATCGCTTACAATGTGGCGTTGTCAATAATGTGGTGTCTGTGATTTTGTAATTTTGATTGGGTGATGTTGCTACCCATGCATCGCATCTTGCATCATTTCAAACGCTCCTTTGTGCATTTCAATGGGTATTTTAAATTTTTCTTTGTGCAATCCTTGGATCAGGGGGTCTAAGCCTCATAAGTATCCATGACCAACTATTAGTATCCATTGCCCATTTTGAGGGTCCAATACATGCCTACTAATACTGGGTAAATATGGTAACAGGCATAATCCCATATGCGATGGGCTTAGAGAATACCTGATGTGCAACATGGTCAGAGAATCCCAGAAGGTATAAACAAAGGTGGCACAAAGCTTGAGGACTTCAAGCCCTGCACAGGATTGTCGTTCGTTGGAGCCTGCCAACAAACATTAATGACATGTTCCATGACAAAGCACTTGTACCTGTCAAAGCGCCCTCCCTGGCATGCACACAGGCTTGTGCATCACCTTCTGAAATGTCAAAGACAATGGAACAAAAGAGCACATACCAAGCAACAAAAGAAATAGAGGACTTTGCTGATGAACGGGAATTGACTTTTTTTAGTTATTGTTGAAGAACCTACTATTGATACGATACTTCCAAGTGAAGTGATAAAATTTTGCATGATGCTGTTCCATGGAGTGCATTTAATGTGTGCCACGCTGCACGATGGCAAGTGCTGCAGCAATCACACATATTCTTCATGTGTTTTGTATGTCCCATGGTGGAAACCAACCAGGTCCACCTGATGGTGGCCGTACGTTCCTGTTCCCGAATCTCCATGTATGTATTTCATCTGTGTAATGTAGTGTTGACGCTGACAGTAGGAAATTGACTTTCTTGCAATATTTTTCATATTTTTCATATTGCCTCTTGTCTTTTATGTTGTTCTTCCATCTTCGCTTTATATGTTTTCATTTTGTTCTCTTGTGTTCTCTTTTTCTTCTCTTCTAGAGATCATGTGAACAACCTCATGTCGGTGGTGCTGAATAGCACCCTGCATCCAGAACTGAGCCTACGTGCGGCGAGGTGAGTCAGTTGGGCAATTAGGTCTTGCGTCCAATGTTTGATGTTCATGAAGCCCCAAGTGCCACACAAAGTGCCTTGCACAATGTGCAATGTGAATCGATCTTGTGAAGAGCACAAATCATGGGCGTGTGCCTGATGATATGAGGGCGATTCAGTAAGCAGATGTTGTCCCAAACATAACCCTGTTGGTCTGTGGCAGTAGCAGACAGCCGCGCATGCATTGCTGCTTCTTGGATCTTGCACAAGCAGCACATTGTGACACAAAGTGCAATGCTGCATTTGGTTTAATGTGGTGCTTTGTGTGTGGTATTGGGTGCCTGTCCTGCCCTTTGGAGTATTTACTCTTGTGCTTGGCACTGTGTCCCAAGAAATTGTTTGCCGCATCGCGCAGGGCCTTCCATACCATGCTGGAGAAGAATCCCCCGTCAGGTGAGGGCGGCTCAACAGTAGCAGTTGCAGAGTACTGCCACAGAGTATTGTCAGAGTGTAGCATACCTTGTCCATAGCTTAACTCTGATCAGGCGGAATTGTTCACACGTTCAAATGTGATTAGGTGTTTTCCTTGTGTTGGTGCTGCGCTGTGCCAACAACACAGTTTCCAAGCAGGCGTTTTTTTATGTCTAGGTGCACATCAATTCCTCTTTGTTGTATTATTTGATTGATTGCTTGTCTTTCTTTGTTGATCGTTTTCTTCCGTTCATGCATCTTCAGCCTTTGGACTTCTTTGTGCCAGGCACATGTTTCGTCCTTCCATGGACACAATGCCAGCAATTTGGCATTTGGCAATTTGGCACTTTTTTTCCAGCTGTCCAATGAATGCCAACGCAATGTACAACTGAAGTACATGGTAATGTGGCACAACTTCCATGCACATTATATGTGCTTCGTAGCGTGATATATGCTGGAGTTGCATCATATCCTGAGAATTGCAGGCAGCATGGATTAACTCCCATGAACATTCACAGCAATTTTAGTATGTTGCTGCACATCGTCAGCACAGTGCACTGCATCACTTTATTCTCTGGAGCTTTGCTTCTTTTTCTTTTCATGAGACAAGTGGGCATATCAGAAAGAACTGCGAGAGCACGGATTTGTGGCTGCAAAGCACACCCTTTCAGCATGCAAGAGTACTGCTTGCCATGTATTGACACATGCAGTCAAGGAAGCTTGCAGCAGGAGCAGCACAATATTTTGGCAGCACATTGTTGTGCGTCAGCACGAAACACAGTGCACAAGAATCCTACGGCATGCAATATGGCGAATAGGAAGCATCGAAATTAGGGCATAAGCAGCTTGCAGTGATGTGGGCACTGCTGTATCAATATCTGAACATGCAGCAAAAAGAGCGACAACATAACTTCAGGTGGCGTGTTACAACTTTCAACGTCCTGCTGACGAGCGCAGTACCAATGCAACGAAATTTCATGGCTGTTTTTGTTGAACTGCAGCATTTGCACTGCATATGTTGCGATCTTTATTGTTGTGATTTGAGATGATAGCATGGCTGATTATCCTCCAGCGCTGAGACAGAGGAAAGCATTGTGGCGCACTTGCGATTTGCTGCGCTCTCAGTACAGCAAACACCTTGACACCCTGTTTTTGAATCTTGTTCGACTGACAATACTGTGATGTGCCAGCAGGGGTGGATGACTATTGGAATCCAGTGAACGGGTGCGTCCATTTACTGTTCTTGCTTTTCTTGCAGGCTGACCTGCACAAAATTCTTGTATAATTTGTTACCAGAATTGAATGGGAGTCACATATCAATGACAGGCTGCTGGCAAGTCCATCACCTTTCTTCTTGCTCATTGCAGTTTTGCTGGATTAACTGCAAGAGCTTCACAGCTGTGGTGCTGTTAAAATCGCATCAGAGTGCATCTCATTGATGTCTGGTTGGCAGTGCTGGTAAAGGTAATGTTATTGTTATTTTTAACAACAATTATTGTTATTATTATTGATTGTTATTACTATTAGTAGTAGTAGCAGGATTTGTAATGTCTGGTAATGGCGGTGTGGACAAGAAAAGCCCACAACTGGCAGTGAAAGCTCCTCCTTGAATACCTTTGTCATAAGGTTTGACAAAGTCCCATCCAGCTGCAGTGTCCTCTCTTGATCATGCTGCTCTATCAGTCGCTCTCCTTGGATCCTATTGACAGCAACAATAGAACACCAATGGAAACCGCACTCCATGCCTTACTAAAAGTTCGCCCAGTAGCTCCTGCATCCGTATGGTGCAGTGATATTGCCGGACTTATTGTCTAAAGACTGCACGATGTGCTAAAGCACACAGCAGAGTGGCAGCTGGAGTAAAATCACCTGAAGCTTTTGCTGTCATTTCATGTACAGCTGATAAGCAACTACCTGCAGTATCAAATATGCCCACAGCGCATACAGGCAACCAGCATTCTTCAAGTTCAAGCCGTGCTTCCGTTTCAAAGGAAGAAAATGCGAACAGAAGTACTCATGCGAACGGAAGGATAACCTCTGGAGGTCTTGTCATGCGCTTGGAGACATCCAAACATGCCCACAGCCCTCAATGCTCATGCTCTGCCTGGTGGCAGCACTCATCAACATAGACTAAAGTGTGTTTGTGCTTTGCGCATAATGTGTCAAAGAAACCTGGAAATGTTGGACATCAATGGGAAAATGAAGATGATGAAAGGTGCATCGATTCTGTTTTCTGCCATCTCTACAGTGTATTCAGCCGTGCAGAGCTGCGACATCCACAAACACTTGGGTTGTGTGCTCCTCCTTGAGGGTCTGGTGGCTTTGTTCGCTGCGGACCTGTCCCCGCGTTTGGCAGTGATTGAACAGCGAACAGACCTAAGTTCTGAGGCCCAGGTGCAGCACCTAGCAGGGTGCTTTCTGTGGCGGACCCTGGAGGTGATTGTGACATCCCATGTTTGGTCCATCTGTTTGGAATTCTGCAAATTATTTTTGGATGCATCTACATCCATTGGGTCGTCAACGGACCCAGATCGACTGGCTTGTCAATCTGATCGGTTCAGTACCTGTGCAAAATATTTAACAACCTTCTTGTGCTGAATTTCGCAGTGAAGTCAATGCCAGAGCACGAAAACAGAAAGAGATTGCTTTGTTGCATGCTCCAAGGATCAGCGCACCTGGAACATATTGTTCTTGGTCTGTTTACCTGCCATTTGCTGCCATCCTTTGTGCCATAACAGTCCTAATTTCAACTATTTGCTTTGCTGTTTATGCTATGTCCATGCATTGGTACAGGACCGCAAGTTTGAGGGCTACGATTCCAAGCAATCAGAGAAACATGACATGCTGCTGCGGATTATGCTCATCATGTCAGTGAGCGGAGAAGACAGTGAGGCAGAGGGTGGCTCGGGTGGCCAGGGGCTCGAGACCCATATCCGGATGCGGCCAGTGGTAGGCAAGACTGCTGAGAAGCTGATGCATCTGCTTCTCAGCCTGTATGGTGAGTGGGTTGGAGACAGCATTTGTGTGGTTTGATTTGCCATGAAAGGGCGTCATCTGAAGTGCAAATGACAGTGTTGTCATTGTGCTTCAATAAGCGCATTTGCCACACAATGTGGGAACAAGGTAACATGGTCGTTCTCCGATCTGGATCCACATTGACATTGTACTGATAGGACACACGTCTGCAACTAATTCTCATTGTGAACACGTTGCTAGTGTGGTCGCAGCTAGCAATGAGTGCCAGTATTCTTGCCCTTGTCCACACGAGCATGTCCCCACTGCCCCATCCCAATAACAGCAACTGCATTTTGACATCCATCATTAACTGCCTGATGCATAGAGTGCAACCACACAAAGCAAATCCCAGCTCCAGTTTGTGCACACTTCCAAATGGTGCAATTTGTTGCAAGGCTGAGTGTTTGTTGAGATTTTACAAATGCAGAAAGCATGTCTTTCGTTGGAACACCAACTCCTGGAAAGAACATGGTGCACTCAAGTGTGTGAGTAATATACGGTCAATGTCGAATTTTTTGCCTGATTATAAGGTGTGGATGCCCGTGAATCTAGACATGCCTAGCAGTTGCTGTGCAAGGGTATGGGATCTCGTTCTTGCAGCAACAGCCAAGAGAAATCACATCTCCTTTCTGTGCTTGGGAAAGAGCGTCGACGCAACAGACACTAGCATGTGCTGTCACAGCCATGCACAAGGATTTATGCCAACAAAACTTTTCTCCCACAGTGACATGATAACCTGATGTCCACAACCAACCATGGCATGTGGTCATCTCCTCTGTTGAAGATACATTATGTCCTGTTCCACCTAGATTCACATTGGAGCGAGTCCTTACAGTTTACAACGGTCAGAATTGATGCGATGTTCAGATGGCGTGTGTGACGGTGGAAGACAGATGCTATTAAGCGCATTTGCTGCTAAGATTTCAATTAGGTGACCTGGCACAGGTCACCACCCCAATAGCCAGGGTCCTGGAGAAGGATGTCCTGGGTCTGCAGCACTAAGCAGCACAGCATTTGCTGCAAATGTCTGCATATTTTTGCCATTGAACTGGTTTGTTTGTGCGGTGCTGTTCCACTCAGTTGCTGTACTGCACTGTACTGAAGGTACTTGTTTGCGATTGCTAGGTAATGTGTTGTACTGCAGTCACAGTGCCATGCTTTCGCATGGCATTAGGCAAGTCAGCAGTTTCATTCAGCTGGAAGTGATGTTTTGGAGCTAGCTTGATGGACTCGTTGGATCTGAAGAGATGCTGGTGGCTTTTTGCAGGCACTGCTGAGGAACATGGTCTGTACATGAGCAAAAAGAAGCACGCCCTTGTGAGACAGTTCGGCAACAGCAGGGCTCAGATTGACAAAATCATGGTGAGTTTCTTGTTTGGGAGTACTTTGAGACAAGAGTCTTACTTTGGCAGTGTTGACACCATTGTCAGCAACGGCTCTGTGCACTTAAGGTGCACGGAAGTGGTGCTGATGATGGCATTTATCGCAGCAAAGCATCAGTGCACTGCCAACCCGATGTGCCATATTTGGCCACATGCACTGTGGCCAGGAACCAGAAAAGATGGGCATGCAACAGCAGACAGAACTTTGTATGAGAATGAACACAATGCTATGACGACAGAAACAGGTGTTGTTGATTGCTTGCTCACTTTGTTGATTGCAGTTGACAAGCAAATGGTGATGTCCCTTTGCTATGAAATATCCCAAGTTCACAGCTTTCCTCACTTTGTCAGTGCACAGTTGTAATGTTGGCTTTGGGGGAAACGTAGCAGTTGAGGATCTACCAGGAACTTGGTGATTGGTCAATTTGTCCATTTCGATGAAAGGCATCAATCTGCTCGCACACATTTACAGCACTGCATGCTTGTAGCCATTGTGGTAATGCAAAGTACCCTAGACGATCCAGCATTCCTGTCAGTGCCGCTTTGTTGATTCTCAACTGTGTCCTGCTAATACAATGTTTCTTGTGCACACTTGCACACATGCGCCTTCAACCTTAACTTTCTTCCGTATCTCAAGCCCCCTTCAAATGCTTTATTCCTATTCTTGTCACTGAGGTATGCCGCAGCTCATGCTACCAGACAGGGTAGCAGAATGCAAGTACTGGTGTAGGGCAAAGCGCCTGTAATAACATTCGCCATGGTCACATAGAACTCCACCACAGACATTGTGAATGCCCAACACAGGATGGTGTTGCCAAGCTTGCCGGCCATGCTGTTGTTCAGCATACCCTGTTGCAACATTGTGACGTGCTCTGTGACAGTATTGGACAATGTTATTCATTTCTTCAAGCAGCGCTGCACTGGCCTACAGTCTGCTCACCCCTCTTGCTGAACACCATTTACTGTATTGCCAGTCACCACCACACAAATGCATAGTTCAAGCATGCCACAGTGTTCTCAAACCAGCCTGTGGTTTTGAACGCAATTGTCTTGCGCCCGATTCACAATTCCACAGATGCCCTGGCCATTGGTGTGGGCACTTCAATCAAGGAATCTTTGTTTTGGATCACTGCATGTTGGTTTATCATTGTGTTTATGTTGATTGCAGCTTGTCAGTTGTTTCTTGGGCGATTGATGTGTGTCAGCTGTTTCATCCAGCTCCAAGCCTTGTTTGAAAGTTCTGGCCTCAAGAAGGACGTTGGTTATGGAGTGTTCAAGACCTTCAAGAGAAAGAATGCTGTTCTGATGGCGCTGCCTCACAAGGATCGCATGAGGCTCCTGGGATTGGTGCGTTGGTCTCTTGACCTGATGAACGCTGTGTTAGCACCTAGCTGGGAACTGGTATTTTGAAAGTGAGCAACTGACTTGCACAATGGTGCTGATATGACTACCAAGGAAACACGGGGAGTAAAGGTAGATTGTCTGTGCTGCACATGCAGAATGTGGTACTCATGGATGATGGGACCCGGGTACCTGGGTGCAGACTTTCAAAGCCAAGGCCCATCGCTGCTACCTGTGTCACGAACATGGCAACATGGCCATTTAACAAGTCATGCAATGTCGTGTGCTCTTCACAGATGCGAAAAATATCCCACTACTAAATTTGCAAGTACCATTTATTTAGGACAATACTTTGTTAATCCCAGATTAAATTGCAGTTATGAACCGTGGCTTTGGAAAAGCAATTAACCATCTCAGATTTCCACCAGAATTAGCCGCAGTGTTTTAATTTCGAGTCTAGGTTGTGCTCCCAAAATTTGGAGTCAATCGGCTAAGTATTCAATCCACAGTGTCATGTTGAACAGATGCCAGTGAACAGACGGTTCAGAACTGCCATTCGATTTGGGGCAGAGGAAGTATATACATGTAACTAGTCCTCTTTTTCTTTATGATTTTTCTGGCATAAATTTGTATAGCGATAATTAGCAAATTGTATTGTTAATGCAAAACTTGCAAATGTTTTGGCAGTGCAGTTGAGTTCAACTACATTCCCTCCTGAAGTCTCCCTTGGACACACGTGGGCAGCTGTTGATGGCAGTGTTGCTGTCTCTTACTTTTCCACCTCTTCTCAACAGGGTTTCGAATTCATACGTGCACTGCTTGGCATTAGAGGTTGCAAACCCTCCCAGCATTCCATTGAGATGATGCAAGCTGTCGATTCCTTTTCGGAGCAAACAGCTTGACATTGCATCCCCATTCGATAGGGCACAGGGGTTACAGTGTTTTGGACTAACGTAATATCACCATTTTAGCCACAGAATACTTATTCTGTGTTCCTGTGCACTGTTTGCTGCTTTGTGTTTGTGTTGGCTTCACTGACTTGTCACAAAGGTACTAAGATGCCAAACCAGTCACACATCTACCTGCATGTAATGCACTACTAGTGCCGTTCATTTTCCGTACTGTACAATATCTTAGCACCTTCTTGTGAGAATGCACAAGTATGTGCATTTGCCTTGCCATTCAATGCGCAGGTGGTGTCAGAGAATATATTGAGCAAGTGAAGAATTGCCAAACCTTATTGCCAAACATTGCTAATTATTGGCAAGCTGTGGAAACTTATTTTTCTTGCCCTATGTGGCGTTGGAGGGCAAACATGTAATTCCAGCGATCTTCAGCCTTTAAATCGGGTGCCTTCCAGTCTTTCATCCAACTTGTTTGTGTGAATTGGTCTTCATGACACCGACTTCAAGCATGTGTGATGCTGTATGCAATGCACGTTTTGTGCCATCCAGCATAACTAAGTGCAATACAGTGCTGTGTAGGGAAGGCAGCACTGCCAGAAACCTTCCGGTCGCCTTGTCCACGCGGTCTTTTGAAAGCTCAGGTCATTTGCAATTGCATTCAAGTTATTTATGTCGCACTCTGCACCAGATCTTTCATTCCAGGTATTTAATCCCAGATCTTTCGTTCATCTTCAACAAGGCTTACAGGATTGTGAAACATACAGGAAATGTGCAGAAATTGTTCATTCCAGCTGCTGTTTCCCACAGGTGGTTGGCAAGAGGAGTTTTGTGGAGAAGAGCACCTACCCCGGCCTGTGGGCGGCGATGGACTTCCACGATGCTCCCTGCGACTACCCGCCAGTGGCTGCAGAGGTGCCTGTGGACGAGATGGTCGACATCTGTGCAACGCAGTTCACATGCAATGTGCGCAGCCTGGTGGCGGATCTAGAGGAGGACGGATTCTGCTTGCTGGTGGCGGCCGTTGTGGCCACGGCCTGTGCCCTGCCACAGTACAAAGGGCAATTGGTAAGGAGTTGGATGCACATGCCTGAGTTGTACTCAGGGGCGAAGGTCAAGGGTCAAGGAAGCTGGTGGCACTGAGACTGCTGCTAGCCCTGCATGTTGAGGTGATCGTGCCAAGCTACTGTCAGGAGGCGAACTGCGGAGTGTTTGTGGAGTTGTGGAAAGTGGCGATGATCATGTCGATCAACTGTATTTAATGTTTGGTCTGTTGTACAGAGTGCTGTTGACAGCATGAATGGCCATTCTCCTGTTGGTTCTGCTGTTGTGCTCCCCTACGTATTCACCCTATTTTGTTGCATTTGAATCCAAAGTAGACTAGTTCTCTTCCATGATTTTGATTTTTGTTTGGCTTTCTTCCAATTGACTTCCTTTTCTGGGTCGTTACTGACGGCAAGTTCATGTCCACTTGCAGCCCAAGGTGCGTTCCCTATTCGCCAACATCCAGGAACTCATCGCCAGCCGGCAGGAGCGCCTGAAGTCTCAAGAAAGGTGACCTGTGACCCAGGAAGGATGCTAGTGCTTTATGCAGTTGCACAGATTCGTCTGCCATTGCATTGTGCAGTGCTGCGGAATGCATGGCAAGATCACAGATCAAGACCTGTTCGAGCCAATGGCCTCCACTTCTTCCCCCAAGGACAGTACTGTTCTGCGAATGTAACTTATTATTTTTCCGTGTCCTTTTGAGATTCAGCTTCAGTCATTGAATTCTTCATTGTAAGGGAAGGCACTATTTTGAGTTTGGTATGCTCAATGTCAAATGGACGTTAGGCTAAGCATCTAACCTGAACATCAATCCATTTTGATGCCAGGATTAATCATCAGCATTTCCTAACACTGCGATGCCACTCCAAAGCTGCAGCGATTGCAGTGGGTTGAACAGTGGGATGCCAAAGCCATGGCAGGCGATGGGAACAGCTCCAAGGGCTGTAAATTGATCCACTGTAAGGACTTTCTCGAAGTTTAAAACCTTGAGGGAGGTTGTGGAACAAGTTATGAGCCGTCTGCCACTGACTAGCGGCGATTTGTGCATCTTTCCAGCTTATTTTGTTTTTATTGCAATTGTTTCACCTCTTAGCGTTCATGGCCTGGAATCCCCCCCCTCTCCACCCTCAGCACCCATTTGACGCCAAGCATACCAAGATCAAAATAATGTCTTCCCCAAAGTCGTTCTCGTGTGGTAACCTTCGCTTAGAACATTCTGTGATCGTTCCATTTTTACTCAATGACGTCTAAACTGCCATTGTCCTCTGTAAATACTACTCCGTGCTGCCTCTGCCCTGTACTCTCAGTTGCGTTGTGCCATTGCAATGACAAGTAAATTGGACGTCCAATGGCTGCATTGGCTCACATGTCCAAGTCGTTGGCGTTCAAAGGATTTGACACACCTGCGGCGGACAAATTCAAAGATGATGCAGCAGTTTTGGCAATGGCCCTGTACTGAGCGCAGCATTTTCCTATTTCCCCTTCAGCAATTGCTTTGAAAGCAATTGAGGTGCATCTAGAAGCAAAGATTCCAACGAAATTGGGGTCTACTTGCTAGTCAAGCAGCAACATGGCAACAAAGGGCATTGTGTGGGCATTTTAAATGTTTCTTTGTTCGCGTTGGGTAAGCATTTTGCACAATGCCATTTGCTGAAAATTCTGGAAGCAGAATTTTCCTTATTGTTGCAAATCTCTCTCGATATTTAGTTCACCCGGCGTCTGTAGTTTCAATTAGCTGCCAACGCAATTGCTGAAAATTTGGCATTGACTGGGCTAGTCCTTATTGCAGGTTGTCGCTCGAGGCTCGCATTGCGCTGCGGTCCGCCAACCAGCTCATTAAACTGAGGACAGCGGCCTGCGACTAACTTCAGCTGGCCGTCAAGCGTGGCCTCTGGCAGCAACCACGTTGGCAGGATGTCCCGTTCTGTCAAGAAAATTCTATACGTAGGGGTGGCCAGTCAGAATTTTGATGCGTATGTAAATAGCGCGTAGTGTGCAGAAGCTCACTGTTTTGGACCAGCAGGTGTTTGTTGTGTGGACATGGGTCTCTTGGGACTGCATTGGTTGCTTTCATTTCCACTGAGAGTTGCAGCAAGGCTAGCAGCAATGCTGCACAATGAGCGCGCTTTATATACCTGTATGCTTCAAACATTTATATTCAGTATGGATTTTCTGACATGAGCCTGTCCACAAGACGCCAAAGTGATGAATCGTTTGCTTCCTTTGTGCACTTGCGTTGGGCAGGTGACATTTCGCTCTTGTCATTCCTCGAACTTTAAGTTGGTAATACTTCGATTGCACGATGGCCACCTGCGACGAGGACAAGGGCACGTTCGAGTGTGTTTGGCAAGTGCTATGCCACGTGCAGGACCCTGTCCTTCCCCACAGCCTCCACCACAGCCTCCACCACCGGCATTTAAAACTCGCAGGCACAGGAACGGCACAAAACCAGGGGTCTGCAAGACCACGGAAATTAAACGTGCGCTTTTTGGACCATGTCAAGGCAATTTTGGTGAGGACTACACATCTGTTCTCGGAAATTCGAACTTGAGGGTTTTGAGATCCAGTGTTTCCGATTCTAGACTCCATTTGTAATTTATATGCTGTTTTCATGACAAGATTTCTCTCTCAAATAGACGACAACAAATATGGGACGGAGGAAGTATGTCAGTAAAAAGTTAGTAATACTGACACATCCCATTCCACGTTGGCGTCTCATCCCATGATATGCCAATCTTGAATGGGACAACATTGGCACAACACCCCACATGGTCACATTTCCTTTTTACATGGGACATCGTGGTTTTGTGTGTCGTTCCCGTCAGTGCAAGGACGTGCTTAGGCGTGGGGAACAGAGAATCCAAATATGTTTAACAACCGCGCTACACAACTACGCCGAGACAGGTGCACACAGTGAATCGTGAATAAGACCCTTCCTATTCCAACGCTGTTGTCCTCCTTTGCACAAAAAGTTGTTTCCCTAGGTGCACGTCTCCTGCACAATTTTACCAATGTACGGTGACGTATTTCTATGTCGTCACAACACCGGTTTGGACTATTCCCGACTTGTAGTTGGCAGGTGACTGGTGGGTGCCATAGTTTTCAGGCACGATTCTGCACTTTTGGTTCGAGACGTGTGAGCTCAAAAGGCAAGGCAGCAACACACGTGTTACCTCTGTGCAGTGGTCGCATGTGGGGAGCTGTGGATCCCCAAGGGCGACTCCTTTTCTGTTTGAGTGTGTGTTGTGTAAGTACTGTCACAAAGGATAGGCGTGACAAATACGGCCTTGATTCGAAAACATATCGCTTCTGGATATTGAGGCTGAATTGTGCATGGGGCACTCGCTTTGCGGCGGGTGTTCTTCTGCTGGCTCGGCGAGTGCGACAGACAACAGTGCACCACCCAATCACGAGCCCAGGTGTTGGATTTTACGCCAGCGCAGTTGCTATGCTTAACGTACTACGTAGAGAAGTTCTCTAGTAGAGAAGTTCTCAACGTCTTTTTGCTGGAACCTGCAGTCTCGGCATCAGGGAACGCCTTCTAACGCCAATCCTTGTGGAGTGCACTGAAAGACAGGATCTTTCGAATAGCGTATGCGCTCACCGTACGCGACATTCTTTGCCTTATGAAAAAATAACGATGATGATGATGACATCCGTTGATCGGGATGCGTTAGCCGAATATCGCACCAGCAACCCCAAAATAGTTCCACATAGGCCGTCCAATCGCTGCCGTCGCGGCCGGGGGCGGGGGCGAGAATGCCCTCCCAGGCCGACTGCGAGCCTGCGACCGCGAACGGACAGCATACTCTTCGTTGTGCGTCACGACTGCAGGGCAGCTCACAGTCCCAGTGCTTCGCGCGCATTCTGCGCGCCGCTGTCTCATCTCAAAGGCGCTTTGGGCAAAAGGGCTCCGCCCAAGTTTCTTTAAAGCTGGGATGGCCCGGATTGGTCTGTTCGGCCCAGGGCGATCAAGCCTGATGATTCGCAATCAGCTGATCTGGGTGGCTGTTTGGAGTTTGGCGGCGTGGCGCGTGGCATCTCAGGAATGGAACGCGACCCATTTCACCGTGTGCGCGTCCCTCTTCCCGCCCATGGCCATCTGCGAGCCGGGCGCCGACCCGGACACGTTCACGGGCCATGACGTGGAGCAGATGCGCATCGTTGCCAGCCGCCTGGGCTGGTCTCGCGAGGACTACACGTTCAAGTGCTTCGGGGCCTTCTCTGACGTGTTGGACGATCTGGTGAAGGAGTCGGGGTCCGAGTGCAGCGTTGCGGCCTCGGGGGTCACGCGATCCACCGTGAGGCAGGAGGCGGGCATGCAGTTCACCTATCCCACCTACAGGTGGGTTGCCTTTGGAGGCTTTTCTTGCCACGGGCGTTTGCGTGGTGCTTGCGTGTGCTCGCCCCGCATTGCGTCACGGTGCGTCACACAATCTCGCAATCTTGTGCACGGGAGGATGGCCCCCAGAACGGGGCCCTGGCTCCATGGGTGGCACGGGGAATCAACAGGTGGAAATGTTGCACCTTCTACCCGTATTAGAGGATGTGCAAGCACGATCGCACCATCGGGTCACTGTTTGTGCAAAATTGCTTTGGATGGCATTGCCCCTTTGGGTACAGACACGCACACGGTGGGGTGTTCTTTTACGATTGGGAACTCCATGTTCTAAACTGCATATTGAAACATGCACACTCTACCTTACCAACAAACGGCGACGAAAATCTTCATCCTGACGCCCTCGGAGTCTGTGTTTGCTGCTTTCGGCTTGCAAATCGAGCATTCCATCTCATGCCTGTCCATGGTAGCATCTACAGGGTCATAAAATAGCCTGTTTCATGATTGCAAGGTGTGGAGGGGGCCACTGTATCGCCTGATCCCAGCTTTGATAGTGCATCTTTGTAATACACACGTTCTTTGTTGAACACACCTTGCTCCCTGAAGTTAATTGGCTCTCAGATACTGCTGCATGTTCTCTGCTGTTGGGAAAAGAATTTGTTTGAGCTCAGTGGGGGCCGTCCATTGTGCAGCAGGTTTCATTTTGGGCAGCTTGGACAGGGGACAATGCATCGTTTTGGGAGGTTGCTCTCTTGGCATTAACAATGTCTTGTGGCTCAAGAATAACCTATGCGTAGGAGCTGGTTTGAATGGCATTGGCAAGTGTGGTTTTGGAGGGTGCACATAGGAAACAGTGAAGGCTTGCACTTCACAACCTTTTGCATTGTGGAAAAGAGTGTCTGAACAAGACAATGGATGATGCACGTGTCTCAGTCCAATGGGAATTGTTGACTGCAGTGAAAATGTCTCCTCTTGAGGAAATCCAGGGACTGCGTTTGTTGGCTCATACCAGCAGCTCAGGAAGCATTATTCTAAAGCGCTGCGCTGACCTACAAAACACAACATGGCCCAATAGGTGGGAGGCAGTGTTCTCTGGCGAATGCAGCTAATGATTATTTGCTTGTCTCACAGGGCCAGTTTGGGAATCATGGTGCGGGCCCACGTGAGGAAGGGCTCCTATTGGGGCTTCCTCAATCCCCTGCACTGGAGCGTGTGGCTGGCCATCTCCCTCACGGCGCTCCTAGTACCCTGGCTGGTGTTCGTCATCGAGAGCATCGCCTGCCACGGCTTTGTGCACCCGGGCGACTGGACGAGGGGCTTAAAAAACACAACCTGGGACAGCCTGATCGCCCTTGTCAACTTTGGTCATTTCCGAGTACAGTCCACCGCAGCGCGCGTCGTGGTAATGGGCTACGGCTTGATCGTGCTGATCATGATTCAGACCTATGTGGCCAACCTGGCAGCATTCCTGACGGTCACGCAAGTGGACACGAGCATTTCGAAGGAGGAGGACTTGTATGGCCAGAGGGTTGCAACGGTCAATGTTTACGGGCCCATGCTGAGGAGGCAGGGCTTCGTGCCTGTCGTTATCCAGTCGGTGAGGCTGCCATTTTGAACTTGCAGTGGGTCAATCGTTCATCTGTCTTTGATCATCTTCTTCCTTTCATCATCGTTGATCACTGTGCAATACTTCATTGGCAGAACTCTGATACGCCATTCTGCATTCTTGTGCTGCTGAGGGGTGGAGAAGCAACTTTATTAGTGAAGTGATGTGTTTCAGAATTTTGTGTTGATTAACATACCATAGTTTGGGTTCTTCAGATTGGGCTCAAATGTGCAGTGAGGGCTTTTGTTTATTAGTGCACTATCATCACGATGATTGGAAGCGACAGAACCATGTTGCATTGACATTGGAAGCTGTGTGCAGTTGGATTCAGCTATGTTGTTGTCCTGCCACATCAGTGCAATTCTGCTTTAAATGCTTTTACCAGAACTGATTACTGCTGCTCTTGCACCTTCAAGACAATGACAGGCAGTTGTCTGAGGTTTCTAGAAAGTTTTCCAGTGTTTTGCATTGCCAGCACTCTGGAGACAATCTGTCTAGTTTGCAGTGTTCCAACTGTATGCGATTGGTGAGTGCTCTCATGCATATTGACAAATATAGTCAATGAGGGCTCATTCAGTGGGGTGGCTTGAGGACTGGGGCCTCATGAACTGGTGCACTGCTTCAGATGCTCAAGTTGTGCTTCTCTCTGGGCGCTTTTGAATGACCGAACTGCACAGTTTTTTGCTGTTCAACCACGTATTCCGTAAGACATCTGTTACATAGTTTCCGGTGCTGCACATGTGACTAGTTGTGGTTTTTGGCTGCCCTCAGGATGACAACCTTTTGGACAACCTGGTCCACCGCCTCAGAGCCTCCCACTACAAGGCGGTGCTCATGGACGAGCCCTGGGTGCTCAATACCACCAGCAACCAGAGCAACTGCGACCTGCAGATGCTGTCTGAAACCACCGTGCCCTTCGACTATGCCTTTGCGCTGCCACGCAGCGCCCCCAGGGAGTTTGTGGACAAGATCTCTACAGTGCTGTTGGAGATGCAGGAGGACCTGACCTCTAGCAGGCTGGTTGAGCAGTTCATCCAGTCTGGGAACAGCAGTTGCCCTCGAGGCGATGGCTTCAGTGATACACAGTCAGTGAGAGTCAGCCAGGTGCAGTCCTCAACCCCGCCCTCTTCAGTGCATCCAAGTGCTGTGGTAGCCTTTGTACTGGAGTTGTGGTCTCTTTCGTAGTAGGTGTTACGCACCAGTCCAGAGAACCGCTGAAGAAAACAGCAGCTCAGCAAAGTGGCTGCAATGTTATTATGAGACCGATCACAGTGCTCCGCCAGGTGCGACAGTGCGAATCCACATTGGGTGCATGCTTGTTCATAGTATGTGATATTGGTGTATATTGATGTAATGGAATGTTGATTGATAGCACGCTGGAGCAGTGACTGCCTTTGTGCCTATGGGTGATGCCGGAATCTGGCTCAACGTGCCTCCAACTGGTTCGGTTCAGTGCACGCTGAATCATTGCACCCCCCAACCATCCACACCCTTGCAACCCCCTTACCCCCACCCATTGTCATTACATCACAAGTGTATGTGTGGACACTCGCAAGTCACTCGAATGAATCAAATTTTGGGTGTCAATGGAATCTCCATCGAGTTCAGTTATGAACAGTGCAAAGCCCCATGGCACTCAGATTCCACATCAAACTGTTGCTGTTCCAGTCGTTTACCGTGATTAAAATCTTAACGCACTCAGGATGACGAGCTACGGACCTGGAATGAAATTCTTGGGCTGCACTAGCCTGCACAGTGCAAGGCACTGCCCTTGGACCATGATAACGTCGGCAGGCATCAGAATAGGTCGACAACGCACACCGCTGTGCTGAAACAGCGTCCCATCAACGGATGCCATTTGCCTGACAAGATTCTTACTGTGGATGGGCGCAGATCGCAGGCTTGTGGATAATCCTTGCCTTCTGCATCGCATGCGCATTTGTGATCCTGGTGGGCTACATCATCCGCCGCATCCCCAGAGCCCTGGCGGACGCCAAGGCGGTGGAGGGCTTCAAAATGAAGCAGGGCCTGAGCCTGGGCCGCATGAGGCGCATACCCACCACGTACCACCCCAACGCCTCCGCCCTGCTCTGCTGCTCCCAGCAGTGCTGCGCCCCACAAATCGCAGACCTCCGCGCCACGGTGGAGGTGCTCACTGAGGCGATTCGATGGCTGGGAGACCCCTCTCGACGGCCAAGTGGAAACGGCGGCCAGATGACTGTTGTCAGTGTGGCTGAGAGTCCCCCATGCCCTGAAGGGGAGGGCTGTCCGCAGCCTGGGCCAAACATACTTGCGCAGCAGGCAAGCGGCCTCGTTGCCCAATTGGACGACTCAGCAAAGAATTCGTCAGTGGCGTCCGGCGGGGACGCATAGCACTGTTGAGCGCAGGCCGACATGCGCAGCGCCCTGCAGTTGGGAACCGGAGCTGTGCACTGTGTATCTGTTCAGTTTGACTGCCAATGTGTGTTATGGGTGTTGATTGTGTTGTGCGCTGGAGATGTACTGGAGGGTGGGCACCAGGGCCCAGGAACGCATTCTTTTGGGCGAGCTTGCTCTCGGCGCAGAGTTTGGTTGACACAGAGCATTGCATTTTGTGCACAGGGGCGCACAGACAATTAAGGGGGAAGACGAACGCTTGGGACTTGTGACAGTGCCAGGCTTGGTGAGTTGGATAGTTTCAACTGTGGGGCCGTGTAAATTATGCTTAATTGTAACCGACACAAATCTAATCGAAATGGAGCACCATGAAGTGAATGTGTTGGCGTTGTGCGCCAGAAGTTTGTGCGCCTCACGTTCTGGGCAGTTGTGTTACTGCTGCACTGCTGTTAAGGGTTGATTGAGCGGAACGCAGATGGACAGCTTGACTGCGAAAGTGCCATTGTGCTGCATACTGCTGCCCATTCTGAGGCTGCTTCGGCCTCTGGGTACCCGAAATGAACCACCTTCATTGTTGCCCTGCGCATGCCAGATGAAATGTTGTTGATGCTTGCCCCCTGCGAAGTCGTATCAGCATGCAGTCCCACGTGGCAAACGGGCTCTTTCATATCCCAACAAGTCGAGATACGCACTAAACAATCACCTCCAGCCGGTGCTGGCTGCATTGCTAAATTCGCTGTCATTCTTGTTGTGGGGTGAAAACAAACCCTTAAACCAGTCAGAACTTTGGCATGGACTGCCGCTGAGCCCAACCCCCCCACCCCACCCCCCCCGGCACAAAGTACATGAACCAGAAACATTGCTAAAATGTTGGCACCGCATGGTTGCAGTCCACACATAAATGCATTGTTACAACTGACAGATGGCATCATCTGTCAGTACCAACTTACAGGCAAATAGGGGATGGCTAGGAGCTTACAACCGTACCCAGCGGCCCCGAATGTGTTCTCAGCGAAAGCGCCCCCAAGCTCAGATGTGACCAAACTAGAACGTACAGAGAAAGCGCTTGACGATCATCGTCGTGAAATCAACAGTACTAGGGGTGGTGCTTTTCGGGTCGGCACTCGCGAGGCCTCTTCGAGAGGAAATCCAATTCCATGTCGTCGCTCTGAACGTTTTTGACCCCATGTGCATTCGCCATAACACCATATTCACCATATTTACTTTCCACCATAACAACACACCATATACCCTATATCGCATATCAACAGCTCCCTCGCCCTCAAACTTACAATTCATCCAAATGCATCTGCGGAAAGGCGAACCTGCCGGTTGGCTTCCATCTGTTTCTGTGGCTTCCTGGCTATTTCTAAATTCCAAGGATGCAAACAGCATCTCGCGAACAGCCTACATAATGGCGCCATGCTGTCCACGGTGAAAAGCCGTGAATCAACAATGTCAGAGGATTGGTCAATTTAGTGTCAGAAATTCCGCGGCGGTGGCAAACCTGTCTCTGAGGACGCACTCAGTGTCTCCCGCATCATAAGCCCTCCTCACGGCTTCCCAATACGGCACACCAGTGTACAGCAGCCCGGCAGCCACAATGAACATGTCGTAGAACATGACGAGTGCCAGCACGCTGACCATGGAAAGCACATTAAAAACCAGAAAAGGAAATCCGCTAAATTTGTAAAAGTCCACTAGGCAGTCCTCTAGCCTCGACTCAATGACAAATATCATCGTCAACACGACAGCTATCCAGCAGTATGGCCATATGAACACGGAATAGCCAATGGCAGCACAGGCAGCCGGGATGAGATAGGGATAGTTGAGAAGGAACTCAACCGAATACGGTGCTTTCGACCAGAGCGTACCTCCGCGCAATATGCGGCCTTCCATCTCTGACTTACGAGCATAATTTCTATGAATTCTTGCAATCCACCAGGTGCTTTTTCCCCCTTCACAGATCTCACCACATAAATCGCTGAGATTCCAGATGCATCTGAGCCCCGTATCCTTGTAGCGAGCTAGGACGTCCTCTAAGTCCGCACCTTCCAAAAGGTAATACCCGTTTGGCAATGTTGCATACCGCCATTGCAGAAGCCCCAATCCTAGGGCCTTCATGCCCAATCTAGATGTGGCGTATGCGGCACCTACAGTGCTTGGCAGTTTGACTAGCCACAACAGCGCTCCAACCGTGTTTGAAACGGCCAGAAGCGCATTTGTGCTCATCACTAGATGCAGCGCCAAGCTGCCCATCCTCTTGGTCCCTCGCAAAATTATGCCTCCTTGGTGAGAACATGCTGGGCATCCTGTTTGAACATTCCGTTAAACATAGCGTGCGAACTTATATCGAGCGTTCCCAACCATTTTCCATCCAAGTACATCCCTGCTATGAAGTACAGTCTCACTGAGGAATGTTCACTTGGATGTGCCTTCAGTACCCAATCTACGCTGCATTCCTCCAAGTAAGATGTTCCTTTGCATGTAACCTGCTCTACGTTTAGGATGTTTTCCTCGTTCGCTCTTGCCTCTGCCAACAGATCATTGAAATGCACAGCCCTGAATGCGCAAATGCACTTGGCACTTTTCCAACAGGCACTCGCCAGTGCTGACGCCCAGCCACCCAACCATGCCATAGCTCTGGATTCCCTGCTGTTTCGATCAATCGACCCCAGAAGGACAAGCCAAAGCTGCACAAACAATGTGAAGGCATTGATTCCCCATCCCAAGCTGCACACTCTTGCTTCATCAGCGTCTTCATGCATTGCACTTGCCAAAACAATAAAAACGCACAGGAGCAGCACCACAGAAATTCTCCATGGACGCCTTGGCGGCTCACAGCACGTCATGGCTTGACGACTTGGGGTCGCTTGAGCGTTTCCTGTCAAACAGCACCCATGGTTTTAGATGACAGCAAATGGATGAACACAAATCCCACAGCTTGTCAACATTGCACTTCATTCCGTCCCTTTCATGCAGCTTCTTCACCAAGACCTGTGGCTGTGGCTTTGCAGCGTGCCTACACTGACCAAGGGGTCGTGTTGCAATTCCAAGTGTGCATAAAGACGGGTTTCTTAGCAGGACGTAGATCCGATTACAATTCTTTGGCTCAGGGTGGAATGCAACACACAGAGCCACAGGTGCCCTACAGGCTTTGTTTGACTCCATCAAAGCACTGCAGCATACCGTGTTATGCATGTAAAAATCGTGTATCAATCGTGTACTGAGCACAAAAAACACGGCTGCCACTGGTATGCGGTTCAAATTTAAGCGCGGCTTAAAATCATGTTATTTGTCGTGGAGTCCATGGTGGTAAGGTGGGCCACTTTTGTGTACTACACAGAGCTGAATACTACACGATTTTAACAATCGTGTAAAATCGGGCGTGTAAAATACCCAGTTTTGCATGATTTCAATACGATTTTGCACGACTGTACACGGTGTAAAATGGTCGAATTTTTGCCAGTGGGACTGCGTCAGAGGTCGTGTCGCAAGACCGGCACTGGAAGGGATCGGCCAGACACAGGCGCTGGCGGGCTGGATGTCCCTGTTTTCGAGACGGCACACCTGCGCTCCCGCGCATTGGCCAACGTACGAGTGGCTACTTTCCAGCCAATAGCCCATGCTTGGATACGCTTCCTTTGCTTCACAATCATCTTGAGGCGTGGAAGTGGGCTACGGCGCCAGTGCTGGCGATGGGCAGGCAGCAGAGCGCTGTGCGATCTGCTCAGAAAACGACGTCCAGAAATAGGATGCTCTGAACGAAAGCAACCTGGGTAGCCTGCCCGCTGATGCAACGCCGCGGCTTGTGCACAGGCTCGTGGCGGCAGGCCGTGTGAGGCGATGTTCAACCGGCCAGGAACGTTGCGGCGGGCACCGAGCAAACGCGGATCATAGCTGGATGTTCGATGGGCAGCAAGAACATGCATGCTGCCCTCGAAGCCCATATGAGCTTCCAGACGTGGCCACCACCCCGGGGCCCTGTTCTCCAAACTCGCAGTTGGTTCTCCATGGCTGCGCAAAGGGCAGCCATACCTCACCGTACAGCGAATCCGCTGCGCTTCCGCACCCCAGCCTGGTCCTTGCAGCGGAGCCCCTTTGCGAGAGTCCGGCGGCCTCCGTCTTTAGCTTGGGGTCCTGCGGGCAGCTCGCATCGCGGGCTCTGAAGGGGACTTGGCGGAGAAACGGGTGGCCTCACAAGGGATTGGCTTCACTTGCGGTTGGCGCCAAGGGCAGCCACCCGTGCCTCAAGGTCTGGCGCGAGGGCCTAGAAACCGTTTGCACCCTCTCGAGTGTCCACAGGCCTGCTTCTTCAAAGGGGGGTCGGCGATCAGCAAGCGACGGTGGCCGGAGAGAGACTGGAGAGGGTGGTTGTGAAGGCGAATGGCCCCACAGATATATGGGGTCCATTGGCGCCCAGGCAAGGGGTCCTGTTTGCGGAAGCTGGGCTGGAAGGGGTTCCAGAACCGCCTTCCATGTGTTTGCGGTACACTGTCTTCCATAGTCACACCGGCACGTTGCCGGCGGCAGCCGGTGCCGTGCCCGCCACGCATTCACATGGAAGATGGTTTGGGCTCCCTTAACTCATGAGTGGCAGTCCGCAATCACCAACCTCTGTTCATCTCCTGGGAACGCGGTCATCTTACTGGGAAGTGGCCGTGATGAGGCGAGGCTTCCTCATAGACAGCGATGGGAATGAATATACTGTCGACGATGGTATGTTCGTTCCCATCGCCAGACGACGTCTGAGTTCTTTTCATCCCAAGTGATGAAGGGCGCCTGGTGGCCACCAAGCGTGGTGGACAGTCATAATGGGCGACAGGGATTGGGGCACCACGCTCTGCGAAGAGTGTGGCCGCAGCGCCAATTTCGCCCGACGTTTGCGCCCTCGAGCCATCGCCGTCCGTTCGGCCAACCCCTTTCCGGTGGCCACTGCCATGCCAACGCAGACCCCGACTGCTGCAAGCCCTCTCTGCTTCAAATTCGACGCATTG